TGAAGGTGGCTTGTGACTCCAGTGCAGCGTTGCTCTTACTTTGGGGAGAAACGCGTACTCTTTGCCACCCGGCATTATGTAACGTCTACAATGTGGCTTCAGAGTTACTTGGCACATGGACATAAAGTCGAGTCCCAAGAGAAGTGGCATGCAGAGGTTGTCGTCAGCAAGAACGTGGACTCCGAGCATGCCATGGAAATCGTGGAGACAAAAGAGCAAGGTGGCTTTCCCAAGAGCCTTGTTCTCTTGACCATTGGCCATTACGAACTTTGGGATTTCACTCGACGCTAGAATCTCTCCGTCCTTTTTGATGGCCTTCCATAGTGAGTGGCTCATGAGGGAGTAAGTGCATCCCGAATCGAGTACCGCATCGCCTTTGGAACCGCGAAGGTAGACCGGCACGACCAGGAGAGACGGCTCGCCCAAAGCTGTAGCGACGTCGCCCCCGGAGCTCCGGTTTGGACCATGGTCGTTCTTTTTGCCCACCCTTTTAGGAGGATGTGACTGCTGAACTCTGCTCCAATAGTCCTTTGTGTTGCTCCAGTCTTTCTCAATAAGAGAGCCCACCTTCACCAGCTGTTCAACGGTGGTAACTGTGCCTCGCAGCCCGCTAGCCAGCCTAGGGTTACAAGCATTGAGGATGCGACGCACCATGTCTGCCTCCGTCATATCTGGTCTCCACTTTAGACAGAGAGCTCGATGGTCGTACGCAAAATCTCTCAGGCATTGGCCTGGGGCCTGCACATTGGTCCTGAGCTGATCTTCAATCTCCGCCTGATAGTCCATGGGTAAGAACGCCTCTAGGAAGGACTTCCTAAAGTCCGTCCAGTTGCAGATTTTACTGCGGGCGGCCAACCACCAACTGCGTGCAGGGCCCTTTAAAACTGTGTTGAGCGTTCCCATCAGCTCTATGTCACTCAGTGGTCTGAGGGTTAAAAAGTTCTCACACTGCTCAACAAAGTCCGTGACGTCAGAAGAATTTCGCGACTCTCCGAACTGAGGAAACTCCATTCTAATGGGGGGTCTGGCTGCGGCTGGTGGTACTGTGGGACAGGTCTCGTCTGCGCTTAGTCGCCGGTGTGAAGAATGTGCAGGGATGGAAGGCGTAGAATAACTAACGGGTCCCCAGGACATCCGGGACTTCGATTGGATCCTTTTTAATTCCTCCGTCCACCTCTGGTCCCTGCGTAATAGACAGTCTGTGACAACTTCATCAAAACGCTGTAGCTTTCCATCCACATACTTTTTGAATTCTCCTGCCATCACATCCATTGCCGCTCTTAGCCCCTCCTCTCTGCTCAAAGCACTGTCCACTGTCTCTTTAAGGCGTGTCTCCAGGGCATCTACGGTCCCCTTTAATGTATTGAGCTCCTCAAACACTCTCTCCATGCCCATGTCATTCCCCGCCCCGTCATTCTCGTCTTCTGCCTCGTTTAAATACATGGATTCTAACCGGCTCGTGAGCTCAGACATTCCACTTTGATTTTGTCTAAGAGTGACATGATAAGAAGGATGCAGTACCGGTGTGTCATCTACTGCATTCTCCTCTCCTCTGTCCTCATCCAGTATATTCTGGACTGGATCTGCCATACTTTGTTGGTGTGAATGTCGCTTAATGCGTGAGGGATATAGGGGAGCCAGGGGAGTGTCTCATGAATGAAGCATATGCGTGTGCGCGCGGAAGGTAGGGCGCGTAACCCGTGCGTAAAAGTTCGACACCAACGCCGCTGATGTACAGAAACTCCGCGGTCCTCGTACGGGCCACCAGTCTGTAACAGTCAGTGTCTCCTGAGCGACACTAAGGTAAGGACCTATGCAGGCGTTACATCTTGCCAAGGACACGACGGCAGCAGACAGTGGGAGTCGATGGTGAAAGTCTTGAGGCGGGCTCGAACCCACGACCTTCAGGCTCAAAGGCCAATGTTCTTCCAACTGAGCCACTGTAGCCTCAAAAGAAGGAAAAGAAGGACAGATTGAGGAAGAAACGCAAGAATTAGAGCTGAAAAAACCAGAGTGAGATTTGGCTTCAGGCTCAAGTGACCTTTAAAAAAATGCATTTACGCAAAATCTGTGTTTATATAGAAAAGTAAAACAAATCTGTTGTTTTTGGCTCAGTTGGTAGATAGAGCATGGACTTTGTGATTGGCTGAGGGTGGAGAGACGGTCCGAGCTCTGTAATTGGCTGAGGGAGGAAAGACTGTCCGAGCTGTGTGATTGGCTGAGGGTGGTGAGACGGTCCGAGCTCTGTGATTGGCTGGGAGTGGAGAGACGGTCCCAGCTGTGTGATTGGCTGAGGGTGGAGAGGCTATCAGAGCTGTTTGATTGGCTGAGAGTGGAGAGCCTGTCCGAGCTCTGTGATTGGCTGAGAGTGGAGAGACTGTCAGAGCTCTGTGATTGGCTGAGGGTGGTGAGACGGTCCGAGCTCTGTGATTGGCTGAGGGTGGTGAGACGGTCCGAGCTCTGTGATTGGCTGAGTGTGGAGAGACGGTCCGAGCTCTGTGATTGGCTGAGAGTGGAGAGACGGTCCGAGCTCTGTGATTGGCTGAGGGTGGAGAAGACGGGCCCTGGATGGTATGAAACTGCAGAATACAGTCTTCCAGTCTGAATTTGCACAAACGCTTCATAAGTCTTGACGCTGCACCATGTGACCATCTGCCTCGGGTTTGCAGAGGGAAACTAAACTCTTATGCAAACATGTAGATTAATACACTTTCCTTGGACTGAACAAATGTGAATGGAGATAAATAGTTATTGGTGTGAGAAAAATATGACACGTTTGAGCAACCTTCCTTTCCTGCCCACACACCTCTCCAGAGCGTTGGGGGCATTGAGCCTATGGAGCCGTGCAGTGTTCATATGATCTCAATATAGAAACCTTTTATGACCATTAGAGCCACTTCTTATTAGCAAGATCTGAGTGTCTTTATCTAATTTAATGATTTTATTCACCCTCGCTGTGTGAAGGAGAGGTTTCACAGGTCCTTCCTCCCTGCTGCTGTCAGACTGTACAACGAGAACTGCTGAGTCTGTACAAGTGTCACTGATAGTAATTCACTAGTCACACATAATCACTAGTCACTTTACCTGTTGATATTATTACTATTGTTTATTCTGCTCATATTCTCCGCTGCTAAAGTACATTAAACACATCTTGGACGTTCTCAATATAAAAATAAACCGTAATGAGCTCAATCCATGAAGTAGCATCCATGTTTTTAGGCTTTAAAACCACACACCTTTTACACTTTTCTAACCACCTGAACTCACGACTGCTAAAGTGCAAGTGCGGAGATATCAAACTCGTTGGCGGTTGGTCTGAGCGCTGCTGCAGCTGTCTAAAGCCGTGCATACACCGTAAAATCCAGCTGCAGAGGAGAGGGGCCTTATCCATCCGTACGCGCCGGTCCATCATTTCCTGCATGTAACGTCCAGGCCAATCAGAGAGCGCGGGAGGCGGGTGTTGTTGTTAGATGTGGGTGACGTCAAGAGTTTGCGCCGAACGGGCAGGTTGTAGTTTGGCGGCGAAGAAAGAGGAATGTTTATTAAATGTTATTGCCGTATAGATTGTGGCGCTGCTCCCCACGGGCTTCGTTAGAGGCAAAGGAGATGGCTAAAGCTAGGCTAAATGCTAAATGCTAACGACTCACTCGGGTTCGTTACATATGTCATGGAACTCACGACTGCAAAAACTCAGATCCAGTGGTTTCAATCTGCAAAAGGAATTATTTCTTAATCTTCATCTTAATAAAGAAACTCCACATTTATTATCAGTCATTTCAAAAACTGAGACAAAGGCTTGAAATATCTGACTCGATATGTAAACTTTTTTTATTGTTTGTAGAATAATTTTTAATGTTCACACAATGTTTTTCTTCAGTTAAAAAGCAGCGACAGTAAAAAGCAGGGTTTTTTCCCAGTGGCAGCGGCGGCTCACACGTTCTGCAGATGTGTTAAAGAAGCTGCACCACCCACACGCTTGGATTCAGATTGAAATTTGAAGGTGTTATGTAAACATCTCGTTTCTCGCGCCGCTCTGAATGAATTATTTAGTATTTCATTGTTTTCAAGATGATCCCTGTTTTTATTAAAGGTAGAACCAACAGCACAATGGATCACCAGGACTCAGACCAGACCAGGACTCAGACCAGACCAGGACTGAGACCAGACCAGGACTCAGACCAGACCAGGACTCAGACCAGACCAGGACTCAGACCAGACCAGGACTGAGACCAGACCAGGACTCAGACCAGACCAGGACTCAGACCAGACCAGGACTCAGACCAGACCAGGACTCAGACCAGACCAGGACTCAGACCAGACCAGGACTCAGACAAGACCAGGACTCAGACAAGACCAGGACTCAGACAAGACCAGGACTCAGACCAGACCAGGACTCAGACCAGACCAGGACTCAGACAAGACCAGGACTCAGACAAGACCAGGACTCAGACAAGACCAGGACTCAGACCAGACCAGGACTCAGACCAGACCAGGACTCAGAAAAGACCAGGACTCAGACAAAGTTCAGGACTCAGTCAAGACCAGGACTCAGACCAGACCACGGGCGGCACGGGGGCTGAGTGGTTAGCAGTCTCGCTTCTCAGCAAGATGGTCCTGGGTTTGAATCCCGGTCGGAACAGGGCCTTTTCTGAGTGGAGTTTGCATGTTCTCCCGTGTCTGTGTAGGTTTCCTCCGGGTGCTCCAGTTTCTCCTACCACTAAGAACATGTACAATAGGTCTGTGCCTCCTGTGCTGACTCCCATCTCTGTGTGGAGAGACAGACTAACGACAAAATACTGACTTACCAGGACTTGAACCTCCGGGCGTCAGGTTTCACCAAACATGGAGCAAAAATGACGTCTTTGGCGACACTTCCACTTCTTCTACACATTTTCATAAAAGTATTTTAAACGACGGGATGACAGTTGGTGCAGCATTGGCCTTTGAGCCTGAAGGTCGTGGGTTTGATCCTACCAGACCGCCTCTTACGACTTCCACTGATGGTCGTGGGTTCGATCCCCGTGCAGCTCGGGGCCCCTGCAGCTTGGGGCCCCTGCAGCTCGGGGCCCGTGCAGCTCCAGCAGACGGCCCGTAGAAGAGCCCGCCCCACAATCAAGGCGCCCTCATCCATCACCAGCGGTCGACGCGCCGCGGGGCCAAACATGTCCTTTCCTTCGCCAAATGGCCTCTCGGAGACATATGAGAGCAGAGCACTTCCACCTGTGCAGACCCCCCCTCGGCCCCTGCCTGGCCCCCCGCCTCCATCACTCTCTGCCACCTCTGGTCCTCCGTGGGTGAGTGCAGCCGCTTATCTCTGATGAAAGCTGTGAGAGCGTCTCTTCATCACAGACACAGACACTTTTATCACAGACACAGAAACATGGACACGGACTTTGGCCGTAAGAGCAGACAGGACTTAGCTTCGGCGTCTTTCATTCTTCAACTCTCATTATAAAGGATTAAGATATTAACGCACAGAGAAAGAGAAAAACTTCCTTTTTCAGATGTGGAAGTTTACCACAGAAATACTTTTCCTTTTGCAGTTTTTTTATGTAAAGTGTGGCTTGTGTTTTAGATTCTGTTCAGCAAATTAACTCATTGACTGCCATTGACTTATTGTATAAGACCGGTGATTTCTGTCAAACTTCCCTCTATTTGACCGGGGATTACAGGAGAAACAAACTAGCCAGAAACCGTCATATTTTTGCTCATGAAAGTAGACAGTCCGGTCTTTCAGAATCTGGTTTCATATTTCACATAGTCATCGCACATAATATTCTGTGGGTCTTGAAAATCAGTGAAATCATCAAAAACAGCTTCCAGTCAATGAGTTAATGCAGTTCAGCTCTTCGATTGGGGTCTGGGTTTAAATGTTGATGCTTTTGTTTGTCTTGTTTGACCATAATATACATTATAAAATAATGTAAAGTAAATGTATGTTGAAACATTCATAGAAACCCAGACTGCTTTTTTGTGTTCGGTGACATGAATGTTAAAACCTGCAGATAAAGACACACTCTGGCAGCTCTCTGTTCAGGTGTCGAGAGAAAATCCACTTTAATTACATCCCAGCAATTATGGACTGCATTAATGTGCGCTGGAAAATGTATGGCGCTGTGAGCGTGTTGTATATTCATGTGGAGACCATGTGGAGACCTCCTGGTGTCAGACAGACCATGTGGAGACTTCCTGGTGTCAGACAGACCATGGGTGACTGGGCCCAGCCTGATTTAATGTGTTAAATATGGTTTGTCTGAGCAGAGGTCATCGCTGCCTCCAGACCATGTGTTCGAGAGACTAATGGTTTCAGTAACGCACCATGGGACACAGCACAGGTTGGGAGTCGCACAACTACCACTCATGGTTTGGTGAAGCACATGGGCTCGAATCTCAATGAACCTTTGCTCGTCACTGAATTACCTCCGACATCTGTGTAAAATAATGCTCTGTTTGGAATTATCGTTTCAGAGTTGGTTATGCTAATGCTCCTGCAGCACAACACACAACACACTACACACTACACACTACACACTACACACTACAAACTACACACTACACACTACACACTACACACTACACACAACACACAACACTACACACAATACAACACACAACACTACACACAGCGGCACGGTGGCTGAGTGGATAGCACTCTCGCCTCTCAGCAAGAAGGTCCTGGGTTCGAATCCCGGTCGGACCAGGGCCTTTCTGAGTGGAGTTTGCATGTTCTCCCCGTGTCTGCGTAGGTTTCCTCCGGGTACTCCGGTTTCCCCTACCACTAAAAATATGTCCAATAGTTCTGGCATGTGCCTCCTGTACTGGCCCCGCTCCCATCTCTGTGTGGAGTGAGAGACAAGTGCCCAAAAACTTAACAATTGTAAACCGCTTTGAGACTCAGATCTGCAGTGAAAAGGCGGTATATAAATACAAACTTACTTACTTACTTACACAAACTAGTTCACAATTATGAATGAGACATTATATTATTATTATTATTATTATTATGAAGGAGACATTATATTATTATTATTATTATTATTATTAAGGAGACATTATATTATTATTATGAAAGAGACATTATATTATTCTTTTAAATATGATATTATTCTGATAACTAAAGCATAAAAGTATAAAAGTTGCTGAACTGTGGAGATAAGAGTCTGATGAAACATATTTTAATGCATTCTGTAAATTAACTTTCTGGTTTCTGATGTGATTTCTGAGATGAGCTTGAGGTGTTTCTCTAAACTAAACATTTGAAGGTCATGTGTGAGTGTTCAGCAGCTTTAGTAAAGGCCTGTGTTAATAAACTGACTGCTGATAAACTGTTGCATTATTCAAAGTGAGAATAAAGTCAGAACAGAGGAGCGCTCACACAGAGACATCTAGTGGCCAAAACAAGTACTGCAGTCCTGCAGCTCTGAGCAAGTGTTAGTTTTTATGTTTCCTTCCACATAAAAAACCCAAATACTTTGTTTTAATTGCCTTAAAGTACATTTAGAGTTTTCCATTTTGTAATTAGTACTCGATTGTTTAGAAGTAAAGCGGTTTATTAAAACAGTGTCCAGCTGTGGACCTGGTTTCTTTGTGTTCTCCTTTTTTTGAAGTTCCTGTCCAGTTGATTGTCTGCTTCTTATATGTACCTGTGTCTATATGTACCTGTGTCTCTCTGTACCTGTGTCTCTCTGTACCTGTGTCTATACGTACCTGTGTCTATACGTACCTGTGTCTACATGTACCTCTGTCTATATGTACCTGTGTCTATATGTACCTGTGTCTATACGTACCTGTGTCTATATGTACCTCTGTCTATATGTACCTGTGTCTCTCTGTACCTGTGTCTATACGTACCTGTGTCTATACGTACCTGTGTCTATACGTACCTGTGTCTACATGTACCTGTGTCTACATGTACCTGTGTCTACATGTACCTGTGTCTACATGAACCTGTGTCTACATGTACCTGTGTCTACATGTACCTGTGTCTACATGTACCTGTGTCTACATGTACCTGTGTCTACATGTACCTGTGCGCCTCTGTTGCTGGTCCATGGTTATTGTCCGTCTGTTTTTCTGGTTTCTGATTTTTTTAATAGTTTTTGAGGTTTTTTCTGTACATGTGTCTCGTCATTCAATCGTTATTTTCCTTCATTTCCTTCATACGTAAAAGTGTAATTAAAGTGTAAATAAAGTGTAATTAAAGTTTAATTAAAATTATAATTATGAATTCTAAATATTTTAATCCAAACAAGAAGTGAACATGTTTGTCTCCTTTAGTTTCAGACCAGATGTGTTTAAAGTGTCCTATAATCTTTCTTCTTGCTCTGTTTCAGTGTGCAGCAGCGCCCCCTACAGCATGAAGGTGCAGCACGTAAACACCAGTGCTCTGGTGGTGCGCTGGGCCCACCCGGAGATCACATACCACCCCCCGATCCTGCACTTCCTGGTCTCCTACAGCTGGACGGCCCACGACGACAGCTACGAAGAGACGCACCTGACCGACGCCAGACACAAACTGGTGAGAGCGACGCACAATCCTCTCACTACACACACGGCCCAAACTCAGGCCCGCGGGCCGATCGCGGTCCTCTGGGTCATTTTGTGTGGCCCTTTGTTGCTAACACAAAGTCGCCATTGAGGCACTTTGACAGAAGATAGATAAATGGGTAGATCAATAGATATTTTATTGATCCCTGTTGGAGAAATGCAGGTGTAATTTAATAAAGTATCTAATAATAATAATAATAATAATAATAATAATAATAATAATAATAGTAATAATAACAGTAATATTAAAACAGTCATTAAATCAGTCCTTCAGGTCACAGCAGCAGAGGAGGATCTTGGTTCAGACCATTTTCTCTGCTCTGGTCTGGACCAGTGTAAAACCATGAATCCTCTCTGCTCTGGTCTGGACCAGTGTAAAACCATGAATCCTCTCTGCTCTGGTCTGGACCAGTGTAAAACCATGAATCCTCTCTGCTCTGGTCTGGACCAGTGTAAAACCATGAATCCTCTCTGCTCTGGTCTGGACCAGTGTAAAACCATGAATCCTCTCTGCTCTGGTCTGGACCAGTGTAAAACCATGAATCCTCTCTGCTCTGGTCTGGACCAGTGTAAAACCATGAATCCTCTCTTTTTCCAGCCGTTGTGTATTTTCCAGTCGTCTCTGATTTGTTTTGATTGAACAGATGTGACAGAGACAAAAATGTGAAAATTGTTATTTCCGTCATCACTGTGTGGAGAGAATGGAACCATATCTGAACTCTGAACATTTGTAAAGTGCTTTGGGCGACCTTGGTCTGTAAAATGCACTTTATAAATAAATATTACTTCCATCCATCCATCCATTTTCTTCCCCTTAACCCATTGCTGGGTCGGGGGTGGCAGTCAGAGCACCAGCCCCTCACTGATCCTCCTGCAGGTGCTGAGTCCACAGGAGTGTTGATCTTTCAGCAGGGGCTTCAGGCTAAATGGGGTTAAGTGTCTTGCCCAAGGACACAACAACAGCAGTCATCAGTGGGAGTCGTTAAGAAGGTCTCGTGGTGGGCTCGAACCCACAACCTTCAGGCTCAAAGGCCAATGCTCGACCAACCGAGCTACTGTCGCCTCTTATTCACTTATTTTAACGATTCTCAGAGCTGTAAACTTACTACAGTTATTCTGTCTTTAAACATAGACACTGCCGCTTTAAGAGAAGAGCACCACCTCCAGTGGGGGAAATGTCAGTGTTGCAAGCGCAGTATTTTATGTTTTTACTTGTTTCATAGACTTAGACAGACTTCATTGATCCACAGGGGAAATTGCGTTCGAGCCACAAACAATAATATCAATAAACCACAACAGTCCATCCATCCATCCATTTTCTTCCGCTTTATCCGTTGCCGGGTCGCGGGGGCAGCAGTCTAAGCAGAGACGCCCAGACTTCCCTATCCACACACACTTCCTCCAGCTCGTCCGGGGGGACCCCAAGGCGTTCCCAGGCCAGCTGAGAGACATAGTCCCTCCAGCGTGTCCTAGGTCTTCCGCGGGGCCTCCTCCCGGTGGGACGTGCCCGGAACACCTCCCCAGGGAGGCGTCCAGGAGGCATCCGGAACAGATGCCCGAGCCACCTCAACTGGTTCCTCTCGACGTGGAGAAGCAGCGGCTCTACTCCGAGCTCCTCCCGTGTGACTGAGCTCCTCACCCTATCTCTAAGGGAGCAGCCACTCTGCGGAGGAAGCTCATTTCGACCGCTTGTATCCGCGATCTTGTTCTTTCGGTCATTACCCAAAGCTCATGACCATAGGTGAGGGAGGGAACGAAGATTGACCGGTAAATCGAGAGCTTTGCCTTTCGGCTCAGCTCCCTCTTCACCACAACGGTCTGATACAGCTCTGACTGCAGACGCTGCTCCCTCTTTACCACAACGGTCCGATACAGCGACCGCATCACTGCGCACGCTGCACCGATCCGCCTGTCAATCTCACGCTCCATCCTTCCCTCACTCGTGAACAAGACCCCGAGATACTTGAACTCCTCCACTTGAGGAAGGACCTCTCCACCCACCTGCAGAGGGCAAGGCACCTTTTTCCGGTCGAGCACCATGGCCTCAGATTTGGAGGTGCTGATTCTCATCCCAGCCGCTTCACACTCGGCTGCAAACCGTCCCAGTGCATTCTGCAGGCTCTGGTTCGTTGGAGCCAACAGGACAACATCGTCCGCAAACAGCAGAGATGAAATCCTGTGGTCCCCGAACCGGACCCCCTCCGACCCTTGGCTGCGCCTAGATATTCTGTCCATAAATACAGTGAACAGAACCGGTGACAAAGGGCAGCCCTGTCGGAGGCCAACATTCACCGGGAACAGGTCTGACTTACTGCTGGCAATGCGAACACAGCTCTGGCTCCGGTCATACAGGGACCGGACGGCCCTCAGCAGAGGACCCCCGACCCCGTACTCCCGGAGAACCCCCCAAAGGACACCCCGGGGAACACGGTCGAACGCCTTCTCCAAATCCACAAAGCACATGTGGACAGGTTGGGCGAACTCCCATGAACCCTCGAGTATCCGATGGAGAGTATAGAGCTGGTGTTTGCGATTGCCTTTTCTGGTCAATGCAAATTTTTTTTGGTCTCCTTTCCGCCTCCTCCTGTACAAAGCCACGGCGTCAGGCACAAGAGGAGATGATCACGGCTGTGGGAGACGGATACAGCTGTGGGAGACGGATACAGCTGCGAGAGTTTGTGTTTTGGCACGGCGGGTACAAAGGCCGAGCGTGTCTGTGACTGAGACGTCTGTGATAGAAGCACCGACGACGCCTACATTCCACACGCTGCAGCCTTTAGAGAGTCATCAGTCTCTGCACAGTGTCACTTCCCCGCTCTGCACGCCGCTCTGTACCGCCGCTCTGTACCGCCGCTCGCAGATTCCCGACTGCACCGGGACTCAACAGTTCTCACACGTTTACAGGAAGTTGTGAAGATCTATAATTATCCTGCACTTTAATACCTGATAACACGGTTTTTTCTTTTTAAATGTTAAAGTAGGCGAGGTCCTAAGCTAGCTACAGAACGTGGACCAGTGGCCGCTGCAAGACTGAAGCACTCCCAGGCGGGTTACACTGGTCCAGACCAGAGCAGAGAGGATTCATGGTTTTACACTGGTCCAGACCAGAGCAGAGAGGATTCATGGTTTTACACTGGTCCAGACCAGAGCAGAGAGGATTCATGGTTTTACACTGGTCCAGACCAGAGCAGAGAGGATTCATGGTTTTACACTGGTCCAGACCAGAGCAGAGAGGATTCGTGGTCCGAACCAAGTGGATCAGATGAAAATCCACTGGACGAATGTTAACTTTATGAAAAATGCTAATGAAGCATTTATCATTTTACTTTGGACCAGAGCAGAGAAAATGGTCTGAACCAAGCTCCACCTCTGCTGCTGTGACCTGAAGGACTTATGGATTTTAATATTATTATTATTATTATTATTATTATTAATATTATTGTTGGGGACTTTTAGAATTATATATTTATTAGTTTTGTTTGTTTGGATGGATGTTTTTCTGCTGCTTCTGGACGACTCCATTTCTCCAACAGGATCAATAAAGTATCTGTGTATTTTTGTAACTATAAAAAGTTATTTTACTTGTGTAAAAAGATACTTCTGGGTTGTATAAATCTGTCACTAGTTTCTCAGGCGTTCACAGAATGTTCGGCCTCTGTCACATCAAAGTGTTCAGACAGAGCAGTAAAAAGAGAGGTCCACCATCAGCTCTCAGCCCTGAGCGTCAAAAAGTGACTCACTGGGATTGTCTCATGTTTTTAAAAAGACGGTGGACGCATGTTTATTACATTATTTCTTTTCTCTTAAAAAACAAAAAAACAAATCCTCGGGAAATAATGAAAATGAAGTAACATTGATTTAATGTATTGGAGGGTCTAAGACTGGCACGGTGGCTGAGTGGTTTGCCCTCTCGCTTCTCAGCAAGAAAGTCCTGGGTTTGAATCCAAGTTGGAACAGGGCCTTTCTGAGTAGAGTTTGCATGTTCTCCCCGTGCATGTATATGTTTCCTCCAGGTGCTCCGGTTCCCCTACCACTAAACACAAGCACAATAGGTCTGAATGTAACGAGTGAATGGATGGTGTTGGTTTGGGCGTCTCGCTTCCGTCATCACTGAATATCTGAGTTCTGAATATTGTCCGTATAAATGCTCTATATAAATAAATAAATAAATAATAGGTGTACAGTGGCTTCTGCACCTGTCAATATTCACGCTGGATTCTTTCCTCACACTTGAAGAAACCCTGAGCACTCGAGCTTCATTATAGACAGGAGCTCTTCAGTCCTGAAAAGGCCAAAGCAATCTTTTCTTGTCAAGAACCATAGAGTCTGAACTGAAGGAGCGGACTCCTGTCTCAGCCTCTTCACACAAATCACTGTGCTTATATCCAAGATGCTAAGAGCTTATTAAAAAAGCACCTGGAGAGAGATTATTACAATTACTCTGCAACAATCCAGATTTTTCTTTTCCGATAACGATCTCATAACAATTTCAATATCTGCCAATACCTGAGATTAAGCGATACCAGTGAAAGGACTGAATATTACCATTATATTTTAAAGGAGCAGTGTGTAAAAATGTGGCCAAAAGTGGTACTGCAGCCTCTCCCACTCTCCCTGACTCAGGTTGCCAGATATGCAGACGAATCCAGCTGGGACCATAACAGCTGAATAGACAAGAGTTTTGTCAACAACAAATCTATAACCAACACCTTTTTCACAAAGATAGAAATCCTGGTTTTATTCCTTGTTTTGTCGTTAATGATTTGAGAATCATAACGAGACCTTTTTTAGTTCTGCGCCACATGATACTTTACCAGTGAGATTAGCTCCACGCGGTGAGTTCTGGCGCCCGGATCACAGACTTTCTGATTGGTGAAACGGTGGAGGGCGGGACATCAAAATGAAAACAATAACAAGATTTAGAGGCTGGAAAAGTAATTTAGAAACTCAAATATCTCTGAACTACTGTTATCAGTTAAAGAAGGATTGGAAAAGAGCAGTTTATTATTATGACAGATTAGGGCCCTTTAATGATGACAGATTAGGGCCCTTTAATGGTGACAGATTAGGGCCCTTTAATGATGACAGATTAGGGCCCTTTAATGACGACAGATTAGGGCCCTTTAATGAAGACACATTAGGGCCCTTTGATGATGACAGATTAGGGCCCTTTAATGAAGACACATTAGGGCCCTTTGATGATGACAGATTAGGGCCCTTTAATGACGACAGATTAGGGCCCCTTTAATGACGACAGATTAGGGCCCTTTAATGAAGACACATTAGGGCCCTTTGATTATGATAGATTAGGGCCCTTTAATGAAGACACATTAGGGCCCTTTGATGATGACAGATTAGGGCCCTTTAAGGATGACGTGACATAATTGCTACTTTAACATTTGCAGGAGAAAAAGTTATCTGTCGCTCGAGATGTGGTTCATATTGGCCGAGAAATAGTCGTACTACATAAATTGCACATCATAAAATCCATTCCCAATCCAAAAATACGTAACATTTCAGGGCCCTTTAATGATGACTATGAAAATCTTACATATTGCGACTTTAAGCATGTTATTGTGATTTTACTTAAATGTAGATGTTTTTTGCTATGAGTCTGAAGGTACAGGATTTACTTCTTTGCGGTAACACTTAATGTTTGTGCAGGAGGCGGTCATCTCCCCGGTGTCTCCAGACGTCCTGTACCTGTTCCGGGTCCAGGCCGTGTGTATGAACGACATGCGCAGTGACTTCAGCCAGAGCATGCTCTTCAGAGGTGCACTCTCTTTTGAATTTAGACTTAGTTTCTCTCAAATATACTTAAATCACGTGTTCATTTTGACCTTTTCTGTTTTAGCCAACACCACCAGGATTTTTGAAGGCACGAGGATTGTGAAAACGGGAATGGTTAGTGAATTATGTGTGTTCTACCAGCAGAGGGCAGTATATCAAAAGTTGAATCCCCTTTGGTCCACACTAGAAGCATCATTTGCAAAGATATTGTCAATTATCAGATTCAGTTTATTTTCCATTTGCAGTAAAAACACCACATTGGAATACATTAGCAAAAGTCTCCAGTGTGCACAGACAAATACAGACATAAAACAACATTAAAAGACAGAAATAAAACAAATAAAACAGTAAACAAATGTCACTGTGAAATCGATCGACTAAAACAGTTTCAAAACAAGTGCAAATCATTAAAGTGCTCTGTTCACACTGATAACAGCCTGTGGATAAAAACTGTTAGAGTAACGAGATGTCCTGCATCTCAGAGAGCAATATCTTCTGCCAGAGGGAAGAAGCTGGAACATGGCTTTCCCAGGGTGGCCAGAAGAGTCATTAACAATCCTAAGAGCTTTGTTTAAAAGTCTGGATTTATAAAGAACCTCCAGAACAGGAAGCTCACAGCCCACGGTCCTCTTTGCAGAGCGGAGCACCTTGTTTAAAGCTCTCTTTTCTTTATCTGTGATGTTTCCAAACCACACAGACACAGAACCAACAAGTAAACTCTCAATGGTGCAGCGATAAAAGTTAAGCAGAATCTAGAGTTAGTGGTGAATTCTCTAAGTTTACGCAGAAAGTAGAGACGCTGACGAGCTTTCTTAACGACTCGGTCAGTGTTTTTAACCCATTTCAGGTTAGACAGAGTTAAACCCAGAAACTTGCACTCCTCTACGATCTGCACCTGGGAGTTGTCGATTACGACAGACAAATGAGAACTATTGCGACTGAAGTTGTAGACCAGTTCACATGTTTTGGATGCGTTCAACTGGAGGTTGTTAGTTTGACTCCACTGAACCACATTTTGTATCTCTGCTCTATAAGAGGATTCATCAGTGTCACTGATGAGACCAATGATGGTGGTGTCATCAGCATATTTGATGATCAAGTTTGAGTCAGAGGAGGACACACAATCATGAGTGTACAATTATTAAGAATTTGTAACAATATTTTCCATAACATTTGAATGTATTATTATTTTTGTACATATTTCTGGAGGGCACATGTATTATTCAGCTTGTGCATATAGTATACAATCATTCCACAGTTCATCTTTACCGCAGTAATTACAAATGATGTAAAGATTCTATAGACTTTATTGATCTCACAAACTGAAGAAATGTACATGTCACATTTGGCACAGATAGAGTCACTCAGATTGTACAAAAGACAGAAGTGAAACATGTTAAAGGTTAAAAATATATATAATTATGTACAATAAAAAGTGTCTGGTTTAATAAATAATACATATCTTTTCCCATGCAGCCCACCGTGTCTCCTGCTTCCTCGGCTGACATGGCTCCCATCTCCTCGGGCTCCTCCACCTGGACCTCCTCCGGGATCCCCTTCTCCTTCGTCTCCATGGCGACGGGCATAGGCCCCTCCTCCAGCGGGAGTCAAGCCACCGTGGCATCCGTCCTGACCAGCACCCTCCTGGCCGGTCTGGGCTTCAGCGGCGGGGTCATCTCCTCCTTCCCCAGCTCCATTTGGCCCTCGGCTCAGAGCAGCGCAGAGGACACAGACGTGAGCGGTGAGGAAGAGGAAGAGGATGAGGAAGAGGATGAGGAGGGAAAGAGGAAGAAGAGAAAGCCCAAAGTGAAGGTGCGCCAACTGCAAAACATACTATGACATGCTCTTATGAACAAATGTACATGAAAAGTGCCCTTACCTTTGTTAGTATTATTATTAGTGTTGTTATTATTATCAATACATCTTTATTTTTCTATTTTTATGTATTCATTTTATCATTGTATTTAAACCTGTATCCAATTTTTTCTTTTTTCTTTGTTCTTTTACTTTGCTTTGATATAATTAGAATTATTTTTACACAATATTTTCCTTTGCATTATAATTATTGCCTTGTTATGTTTTTGAATTATGACTTTCTGACCATTTGAACTCAAACTTTGTTATTAAGCTTTAAATTAAGAACCGTCAATGTGTTAAAATGTTGTGTAGGGGCCACTCGAAACGCACCCATAATTCCAAATGTGGCAAAACGAAACTAAATTGAAAATGTGGTAAAAATAAACAAGACCAAAATGTGTAAAACCGTTTGTGGAAGACAAAAAAGAGAGAAGAGAAGAGAAGAGGACAGCAGTGAGACCAGAGTGCATCATGGGTTATATTTATCAGCTTTTCTGCTTCTGCTCTGGTTTAACTGTATAAAAATAGTCACATGTCCTTTCAGTGTTAGCATTTTGTCCAGTCTTCAGCCAGTGATGAACGAGCAAATTAGCAAAACATGTTTTTATACTGTATTTATATATTGATTAATTAACTCATTGACTACTATGCCAATGACATATTTGTCTGAGACCGGTGATTTCTGTCAAACTTCCCTCTTTTCGACCGGGGATTACAGGAGAACAAAACTAGCTACAAACCAACATATTTTTGCTCATGAAAGTAGACAGTCTGGTCTCTCAGAATCTGGTTTCACATCTCACATAGTTTTAGCACACAATATTCTGTGGGTCTTGAAAATCAGTGAAATAATCAAAAACGGCTGCAGTCAATAAGTTAAAGGGACAGTGCTTATGAATATACATTAAACATGTAAATATGCCAGAATTAGCCTAAGAGCTATTTTCCAACTTTAGTCCCAGCACAGTTGTTCTGTATCCTCCTCCAGGGAATAAGATGACAGATAACACAATCAGATAAAATATAACACTGTAAAATGTAAACAAACAGTGTCTCAAAAACATTATAGACATGAACACACGACTGACTCCGACTGAAAGGTGAGTCCTCAGCTTCAGTGACCGATCCAACACAGGTTTAAAAGCTAGAATGTTATTGTCTGAAGTATATTATAAAACACACACCCAAGTCCATGCCTTTTTAAGAACAAAGTGAAAGGAGAAGAAGAAGACACCACAGACCTGATTACGTTCAGAAAGCTCAGAGTATTTTGGATTCAAATGTAAAGTGGATATTATAATCATATGAAAATAGTCTGATTATTGATATCCCAAACTATATACAATTCGATCCTTTCATTTTTGTCAATGTCGCCCATTTCTAGTCCAAAGAAGAGCAGGTGGAGACTCAGGCCTGCACAGACCAGGAACCAGCGAGAGATGACCCAGACCAGCAGAGAAACTGCCCCTGCTCCGGTGAGTCACTGCGTTTCAGTTTTTATGTTGAGTCTGTGGAATATATAACACTGTCCAAAAGATGTCAGGCAAGTCCCGAATCAAAACAGGCCAGTCCCGAGTCAAGACAGGCCAGTCCCGAGTCAAGACAGGCCAGTCCCGAGTCAAGACAGGCCAGTCCCGAGTCAAGACAGGCCAGTCCCAAGTCAAGACAGGCCAGTCCCGAGTCAAAACAGGCCAGTCCCGAGTCAAGACAGGCCAGTCCCGAGTCAAGACAGGCCAGTCCCGAGTCAAGACAGGCCAGTCCCGAGTCAAGACAGGCCAGTCCCGAGTCAAGACAGGCCAGTCCCAAGTCAAGACAGGCCAGTCCCGAGTCAAAACAGGCCAGTCCCGAGTCAAGACAGGCCAGTCCCAAGTCAAGACAGGCCAGTCCCGAGTCAAAACAGGCCAGTCCTGAGTCAAGACAGGCCAGTCCCGAGTCAAGACAGGCCAGTCCCGAGTCAAGACAGGCCAGTCCCGAGTCAAGACAGGCCAGTCCCGAGTCAAGACAGGCCAGTCCCGAGTCAAGACAGGCCAGTCCCGAGTCAAAACAGGCCAGTCCCGAGTCAAGACAGGCCAATCTCGAGTCAAGACAGGCCAGTCCCGAGTCAAAACAGGCCAGTTCCGAGTCAAGACAGGCCAATCTCGAGTCAAGACAGGCCAGTCCCGAATCAAAACAGGCCAGTTCCCGAGTCAAGACAGGCCAGTCCCGAGTCAAGACAGGCCAGTCCCGAGTCAAGACAGGCCAGTCCCGAGTCAAGACAGGCCAGTTCCGAGTCAAGACAGGCCAGTCCCGAGTCAAAACAGGCCAGTCCCGAGTCAAGACAGGCCAATCTCGAGTCAAGACAGGCCAGTCCCGAGTCAAAACAGGCCAGTTCCGAGCAAGACAGGCCAATCTCGAGTCAAGACAGGCCAGTCCGAGTCAAAACAGGCCAGTCCCGAGTCAAGACAGGCCAGCCTGAGTCAGACAGCAGTCCTGACAGCCAGTCTGAGTCAGACAGGCCAGTCCCGAGTCAGACAGGCCAGTCCCGAGTCAGACAGGCCAGTCCCGAGTCAAGACAGGCCAGTCCCGAGTCAAAACAGGCCAGTCCCGAGTCAAGACAGGCCAGTCCCGAGTCAAGACAGGCCAGTCCCGAGTCAAGACAGGCCAGTCCCGAGTCAAGACAGGCCAGTCCCGAGTCAAAACAGGCCAGTCCCGAGTCAAGACAGGCCAGTCCCGAGTCAAGAGCTCTGGTGTGTGTCGTCTGGTGCACACCGGGGTAGTCTTGCACAGTTTTTCCAATGTGGTTTTACTGCAAATGGCAAATAAATGAATCTGAATCTGAAGACAGGCCAGTCCCGAATCAAAACAGGCCAGTCCCGAGTCAAGACAGGCCAGTCCCGAGGCAAGACAGGCCAGTCCTGAGTCAAGACAGGCCAGTCCCGAGTCAAGACAGGCCAGTCCCGAGTCAAGACAGGCCAGTCCCGAGTCAAGACAGGCCAGTCCCGAGTCAAAACAGGCCAGTCCCGAGTCAAGACAGGCCAGTCCCGAGTCAAGACAGGCCAGTCCCGAGTCAAGACAGGCCAGTCCCGAGTCAAGACAGGCCGGTCCCGAATCAAGACAGGCCAGTCCCGAGTCAAGACAGGCCAGTCCCGAGTCAAGACAGGCCAGTCCCGAGTCAAGACAGGCCAGTCCCGAGTTAAGACAGGCCAGTCCCGAGTCAAGACAGGCCAGTCCCGAGTCAGGACAGGCCAGTCCCGAGTCAAGACAGGCCAGTCCCAGTCAAGACAGGCCAGTCCCGAGTCAAGACAGGCCAGTCCCGAGTCAAGACAGGCCAGTCCTGAATCAAAACAGGCCAGTCCCGAGTCAAGACAGGCCAGTCCCGAGTCAAGACAGGCCAGTCCCGAGTCAAGACAGGCCAGTCCCGAGTCAAGACAGGCCAGTCCCGAGTCAAGACAGGCCAGTCCCAGTTAAGACAGGCCAGTCCCGAGTCAAGACAGGCCAGTCCCGAGTCAGGACAGGCCAGTCCCGAGTCAAGACAGGCCAGTCCCGAGTCAAGACAGGCCAGTCCCGAGTTAAGACAGGCCAGTCCCGAGTCAAGACAGGCCAGTCCCGAGTCAAGACAGGTCAGTCCCGAGTTAAGACAGGCCAGTCCCGAGTCAAGACAGGCCAGTCCTGAGTCAGACAGGCCAGTCCCGAGTCAGACAGGCCAGTCCCGAGTCAGACAGGCCAGTCCCGAGTCAGACAGGCCAGTCCCGAGTCAAGACAGGCCAGTCCCGAGTCAAAACAGGCCAGTCCCGAGTCAAGACAGGCCAGTCCCGAGTCAAGACAGGCCAGTCCCGAGTCAAGACAGGCCAGTCCCGAGTCAAGACAGGCCAGTCCCGAGTCAAAACAGGCCAGTCCCGAGTCAAGACAGGCCAGTCCCGAGTCAAGAGCTCTGGTGTGTGTCGTCTGGTGCACACCGGGGTAGTCTTGCACAGTTTTTCCAATGTGGTTTTACTGCAAATGGCAAATAAATGAATCTGAATCTGAATCTGAAGACAGGCCAGTCCCGAATCAAAACAGGCCAGTCTCGAGTCAAGACAGGCCAGTCCCGAGGCAAGACAGGCCAGTCCTGAGTCAAGACAGGCCAGTCCCGAGTCAAGACAGGCCAGTCCCGAGTCAAGACAGGCCAGTCCCGAGTCAAAACAGGCCAGTCCCGAGTCAAGACAGGCCAGTCCCGAGTCAAGACAGGCCAGTCCCGAGTCAAGACAGGCCAGTCCCGAGTTAAGACAGGCCGGTCCCGAATCAAGACAGGCCAGTCCCGAGTCAAGACAGGCCAGTCCCGAGTCAAGATTATGAAAGAAACATGAAGATACAAATGTGCTGAAAAGTGCTGCGTTTTCCGGTTGAACCTTTTGATTTAAGGGTCTGAAAAACCACGTCGGTCTCAACATACTTTTTTATCTTAGTGGTTTTAAAAGTCTTTTAATTTTTTGTCAGTTCGAGTCTAAAATCATCAATTTCACGACTGGAGTCCACACATCTACCATTAAACCTCACTCAATAAACAACATTCAAAGTCCTTTCCGGATTGAAGTAGTAGTTCTCCCTTTAGACACAGACATTACAAGAAGGTTCTGAAGTGCTAGCATTGATGTTATTATTGTAAGAAGGTTCTAAAGTGCTAGCATTGATGTTATTAATTGTAAGAAGGTACTAAAGTGCTAGCATTGATGTTATTAATTGTAAGAAGATTCTAAAGTGCTAGCATTGATGTTATTAATTGTAAGAAGGTTCTAAAGTGCTAGCATTGATGTTATTAATTGTAAGAAGGTTCTAAAGTGCTAGCATTGATGTTATTAATTGTAAGAAGATTCTAAAGTGCTAGCATTGATGTTATTAATTGTAAGAAGGTTCTAAAGTGCTAGCATTGATGTTATTAATTGTAAGAAGGTTCTAAAGTGCTAGCATTGATGTTATTAATTGTAAGAAGGTTCTAAAGTGCTAGCATTGATGTTATTAATTGTAAGAAGGTTCTAAAGTTCTAGCATTGATGTTATTAATTGTAAGAAGGTTCTAAAGTGCTAGCATTGATGTTATTAATTGTAAGAAGATTCTAAAGTGCTAGCATTGATGTTATTAATTGTAAGAAGGTTCTAAAGTGCTAGCATTGATGTTATTAATTGTAAGAAGGTTCTAAAGTGCTAGCATTGATGTTATTAATTGTAAGAAGGTACTAAAGTGCTAGCATTGATGTTATTAATTGTAAGAAGATTCTAAAGTGCTAGCATTGATGTTATTAATTGTAAGAAGGTTCTAAAGTGCTAGCATTGATGTTATTAATTGTAAGAAGATTCTAAAGTGCTAGCATTGATGTTATTAATTGTAAGAAGGTTCTAAAGTGCTAGCATTGATGTTATTAATTGTAAGAAGGTTCTAAAGTGCTAGCATTGATGTTATTAATTGTAAGAAGATTCTAAAGTGCTAGCATTGATCTTATTAATTGTAAGAAGGTTCTAAAGTGCTAGCATTGATCTTATTAATTGTAAGAAGATTCTAAAGTGCTAGCATTGATGTTATTAATTGTAAGAAGGTTCTAAAGTGCTAGCATTGATGTTATTAATTGTAAGAAGATTCTAAAGTGCTAGCATTGATCTTATTAATTGTAAGAAGATTCTAAAGTGCTAGCATTGATGTTATTAATTGTAAGAAGGTTCTAAAGTGCTAGCATTGATGTTATTAATTGTAAGAAGGTTCTAAAGTTCTAGCATTGATGTTATTAATTGTAAGAAGGTTCTAAAGTGCTAGCATTGATGTTATTAATTGTAAGAAGGTTCTAAAGTGCTAGCATTGATGTTATTAATTGTAAGAAGATTCTAAAGTGCTAGCATTGATGTTATTAATTGTAAGAAGGTTCTAAAGTGCTAGCATTGATGTTATTAATTGTAAGAAGGTTCTAAAGTTCTAGCATTGATGTTATTAATTGTAAGAAGGTTCTAAAGTTCTAGCATTGATGTTATTAATTGTAAGAAGGTTCTAAAGTGCTAGCATTGATGTTATTAATTGTAAGAAGGTTCTAAAGTGCTAGCATTGATGTTATTAATTGTAAGAAGGTTCTAAAGTGCTAGCATTGATGTTATTAATTGTAAGAAGATTCTAAAGTGCTAGCATTGATCTTATTAATTGTAAGAAGATTCTAAAGTGCTAGCATTGATGTTATTAATTGTAAGAAGGTTCTAAAGTGCTAGCATTGATGTTATTAATTGTAAGAAGGTTCTAAAGTGCTAGCATTGATGTTATTAATTGTAAGAAGGTTCTAAAGTGCTAGCATTGATGTTATTAATTGTAAGAAGGTTCTAAAGTGCTAGCATTGATGTTATTAATTGTAAGAAGGTTCTAAAGTTCTAGCATTGATGTTATTAATTGTAAGAAGGTTCTAAAGTTCTAGCATTGATGTTATTAATTGTAAGAAGGTTCTAAAGTGCTAGCATTGATGTTATTAATTGTAAGAAGGTTCTAAAGTGCTAGCATTTGATTGTTATTAAAGTGCTAATTGAAGGTTATTATTGTAAGTGTTCTAAAGTGCTAGCATTGATGTTATTAATTGTAAGAAGGTTCTAAAGTGTGCTTAGCATTGATTTATTAATTGTAAGAAGTTCTAAAGTGCTAGCATTGATGTTATTAATTGTAAGAAGGTTCTAAAGTGCTAGCATTGATGTTATTAATTGTAAGAAGGTTCTAAAGTGCTAGCATTGATGTTATTAATTGTAAGAAGGTTCTAAAGTGCTAGCTAGATTGATGTTATTAATTGTAAGAAGATTCTAAAGTGCTAGCATTGATGTTATTAATTGTAAGAAGGTTCTAAAGTGCTAGCATTGATGTTATTAATTGTAAGAAGGTTCTAAAGTGCTAGCATTGATGTTATTAATTGTAAGAAGGTTCTAAAGTGCTAGCATTGTGTTATTATTGTAAGAAGTTCTAAAGTGCTAGCATTGATGTTATTAATTGTAAGAAGGTTCTAAAGTGCTAGCATTGTTTTATTAATTGTAAGAAGATTGTAAAGTGCTAGCATTGATGTTATTAATTGTAAGAAGATTCTAAAGTGCTAGCATTGATGTTATAATTGGTATTAGGTAAAAGTTAAGCTAGCATTGATTTATTAATTGTAAGAAGTTCTAAAGTGCTAGCATTGATGTTATTAATTGTAAGAAGGTTCTAAAGTGCTAGCATTGATGTTATTAATTGTAAGAAGGTTCTAAAGTGCTAGCATTGATGTTATTAATTGTAAGAAGATTCTAAAGTGCTAGCATTGATGTTATTAATTGTAAGAAAGTTCTAAAGTGCTAGCATTGATGTTATTATTAATTGTAAGAAGGTTCTAAAGTGCTAGCATTGATGTTATTAATTGTAAGAAGGTACTAAAGTGCTAGCATTGATGTTATTAATTGTAAGAAGATTCTAAAGTGCTAGCATTGATGTTATTAATTGTAAGAAGGTTCTAAAGTGCTAGCATTGATGTTATTAATTGTAAGAAGGTTCTAAAGTGCTAGCATTGATGTTATTAATTGTAAGAAGATTCTAAAGTGCTAGCATTGATGTTATTAATTGTAAGAAGGTTCTAAAGTGCTAGCATTGATGTTATTAATTGTAAGAAGGTTCTAAAGTGCTAGCATTGATGTTATTAATTGTAAGAAGATTCTAAAGTGCTAGCATTGATGTTATTAATTGTAAGAAGGTTCTAAAGTGCTAGCATTGATGTTATTAATTGTAAGAAGGTTCTAAAGTGCTAGCATTGATGTTATTAATTGTAAGAAGATTCTAAAGTGCTAGCATTGATCTTATTAATTGTAAGAAGATTCTAAAGTGCTAGCATTGATGTTATTAATTGTAAGAAGGTTCTAAAGTGCTAGCATTGATGTTATTAATTGTAAGAAGGTTCTAAAGTTCTAGCATTGATGTTATTAATTGTAAGAAGGTTCTAAAGTGCTAGCATTGATGTTATTAATTGTAAGAAGGTTCTAAAGTTCTAGCATTGATGTTATTAATTGTAAGAAGGTTCTAACGTGCTAGCATTGATGTTATTAATTGTAAGAAGGTTCTAAAGTTCTAGCATTGGTGTTATTAATTGTAAGAAGGTTCTAAAGTTCTAGCATTGATGTTATTAATTGTAAGAAGGTTCTAAAGTGCTAGCATTGATGTTATTAATTGTAAGAAGGTTCTAAAGTGCTAGCATTGATGTTATTAATTGTAAGAAGATTCTAAAGTGCTAGCATTGATCTTATTAATTGTAAGAAGATTCTAAAGTGCTAGCATTGATGTTATTAATTGTAAGAAGGTTCTAAAGTGCTAGCATTGATGTTATTAATTGTAAGAAGGTTCTAAAGTGCTAGCATTGATGTTATTAATTGTAAGAAGGTTCTAAAGTGCTAGCATTGATGTTATTAATTGTAAGAAGGTTCTAAAGTGCTAGCATTGATGTTATTAATTGTAAGAAGGTTCTAAAGTGCTAGCATTGATGTTATTAATTGTAAGAAGGTTCTAAAGTGCTAGCATTGATATTATTGTGCCTTGACCTCTGCTCTTCACATGATTGACTTGAAGCCGGTGTTGAGTGAATATGAATAGCACTGAAGCTAGGTAAATGAGTTAGCTTGATAACATGGATACTGCCTCTGCTGTTCCAGTCCCAGCTCACTGCATTATTCCAGCAAATATCCAGGGACAGCAATTCAATTTGAGAGGCTTTCAAAGTCAGGCCCAGACATTATTATGAAGAGAAATCCAGCTCTCTGGAAATGACTTCCTCAATCTCTTTGTCAGAGCGCGTTTAACAAATTTCATTGGGATCGGCCGAGGGTGAGGCTGCGGAGGAGAAAACTCATTTAAGAAGTAGTTTACTTAAGACTGGGCTTCCCTGCAGATGGAGAGGGGTATTTTTGGAAGCACCCATTTTCTGTTTTCTCCGGTATAAACTTGGGATAGTATTGGAGAAATATGGAAAGGAAATGTTTTTATCCTCTACAGCAAGAGTGTCAAACTCAGGCTCGTGGGCAACATTTCTAAACTTGCTGAAAATGCTTCATCACCAGACTTTCAAAATATATATACGGTATATATATGTACAATACAGTACAATATACAGGAGTTATATACTGTACATATATAGCAGGAGTTATATACTGTACATATACTGTAGGACAGGCGTTATATACTGTACATATACTGTAGGACAGGCGTTATATACTGTACATATAGACAGGAGTTATATACTGTACATATATAGCAGGAGTTATATACTGTACATATAGGACAGGAGTTATATACTGTACATATAGACAGGAGTTATATACTGTACATATAGGACAGAGTTATATACTGTACATATAGGACAGGAGTTATATACTGTACATATAGACAGGAGTTATATACTGTACATATAGACAGGAGTTATATACTGTACATATAGACAGGAGTTATATACTGTACATATAGACAGGAGTTATATACTGTACATATAGACAGGAGTTATATACTGTACATATAGACAGGAGTTATATACTGTACATATAGACAGGAGTTATATACTGTACATATAGACAGGAGTTATATACTGTACATATAGACAGGAGTTATATACTGTACATATAGGACAGGAGTTATATACTGTACATATAGGACAGGGGTTATATACTGTACATATAGACAGGAGTTATATACTGTACATATAGGACAGAGTTATATACTGTACATAAAGAGCAGAGTTATATACTGTACATATAGAGCAGAGTTATATACTGTACATATAGGACAGAGTTATATACTGTACATATAGGACAGAGTTATATACTGTACATATAGGACAGGAGTTATATACTGTACATATAGACAGGAGTTATATACTGTACATATAGGACAGGAGTTATATACTGTACATATAGAGCAGAGTTATATACTGTACATATAGACAGGAGTTATATACTGTACATATAGGACAGGAGTTATACACTGTACATATAGGACAGGAGTTATATACTGTACATATAGAGCAGAGTTATATACTGTACATATAGACAGGAGTTATATACTGTACATATAGGACAGGAGTTATACACTGTACATATAGACAGGAGTTATATACTGTACATATAGGACAGGAGTTATATACTGTACATATAGGACAGGAGTTATATACTGTACATATAGGACAGGAGTTATATACTGTACATATAGACAGGAGTTATATACTGTACATATAGGACAGAGTTATATACTGTACATAAAGAGCAGAGTTATATACTGTACATATAGACAGGAGTTATATACTGTACATATAGGACAGGAGTTATATACTGTACATATAGGACAGGAGTTATATACTGTACATATAGACAGGAGTTATATACTGTACATATAGGACAGGAGTTATATACTGTACATATAGGACAGGAGTTATATACTGTACATATAGAGCAGGAGTTATATACTGTACATATAGGACAGGAGTTATATACTGTACATATAGACAGGAGTTATATACTGTACATATAGGACAGGAGTTATATACTGTACATATAGACAGGAGTTATATACTGTACATATAGACAGGAGTTATATACTGTACTTATAGGACAGGAGTTATATACTGTACATATAGACAGGAGTTATATACTGTACATATAGAGCAGATTGCACAGGATTTTTACCACTTGCTCATGGTATTTTTTTATTTTATTTTTTTATTTCAGAAGCAGCCAGTGAAGTCCGCCGCAAATGCAGACGGTCAGGTCTGTTCCTGGAGCTGGAGGCGACCCGTGTGGAGGGGCCCCTGTCCCTGGGGACTCTGTCTGCCCTCAGCTCTGCCTGCACGGTCCTCCTGCTGGCTGCACTTGGGTACTGCAGGTGGGTCCTCTCTGTCATTAAACACCTGTGCCCAGCCTGACTCCGCCCACATGAACATTTGAAAATGTTCTCTAAGAAGGGCGTTGCCTGGAGAACCAAGGGACAAGAAGGGGACCTTAGAGTTGGGCGGATCACAGACTTTCAATCAATCAATCAATCAACGTTTATTTATAGAGCGCCTTTCCTACACAAGGCAACGCAAAGCGCCTCACAACCCATATAACATCATGCATAAATCATCAAACATTAGAATTTAAGTAAACATAAAAAGACAGATTAAGAGCACAAGATATATAAAATCACACAATCACTTTCTGATTGGTGAAACGGTGGAGGGTGGGACATCGAAATGAAAACAATAACAAGATTTAGGGGCTGGAAAACTAACTTAGACATTCAAATATCTCTGAACTACTGTTATCAGTTAAAGAAGTATTGGAAAAGAGCAGTTTATTATTATGACAGATTAGGGCCCTTCAATGATGACATATTAGGACCCTTTAATTATCACAGATTAGGGCCCTTTAATGATGACAGATTAGGGCCCTTTAATGATGACAGATTAGGGCCCTTTAATTATGACATATTAGGGCCCTTTAATGATGACAGATTAGGGCCCTTTAATGATGACAAATTAGGGCCCTTTAATGATGACAGATTAGGGCCCTTTAATTATCACAGATTAGGGCCCTTTAATGATGACAGATTAGGGCCCTTTAATGATGACAGATTAGGGCCCTTTAATGAGGACAGATTAGGGCCCTTTAATGAGGACAGATTAGGGCCCTTTAATGAGGACAGATTAGGGCCTTTTAATGATGTCTAGACATGAATATCTTTGTCTTGTCTTGTGCACACTGGGGATGTGCTCAATCTAAATCTTAGGTCAAATCTTGTTCCCCAACCTTCAAAAGTATTCCAAATCAGAGCAAAGATAAGGAACCTGGTCTTTTTGCTCAATCCAGAAGCAGGAAAGGAAGGAAAAGCAAGTACTCAACTCTTAGGTATTTGGATGCAGCCACAGATGGTAGTATGAGCCAAGCCCCGCCCCCTGTGCCCCGTTGGCCCCTCCCCCCTGTCAGACTGCACATGTGAGTGGAGAGTTCAGCTGCACTTGGACCAGCAGTATGTGGAAGCCAAACTCGTGCCTCTTGAGCTCTGCAGGATGAACACTTTCTGCTCCCTTCTCTGTGTCAAGTACAGGTAAAACCATCCAGAGGAATCGCAATCGAAGCTTTAGCAGTAGGTCTTGTGATCCGACTTGTGTGTGGCCTGTCTCGTCCTACACCTGCTGTGCTCTGGTAAACACATTGGGCGGCACGGTGGCTGAGTGGATAGCACTCTCGCCTCTCAGCAAGAAGGTCCTGGGTTCGAATCCCGGTCGGACCAGGGCCTTTCTGAGTGGAGTTTGCATGTTCTCCCCGTGTCTGCGTAGGTTTCCTCCGGGTACTGCGGTTTCCCCTACCACTAAAAATATGTCCAATAGTTCTAGCATGCGCCTCCTGTACTGGCCCCGCTCCCATCTCTATGTGGAGTGAGAGACTAATGCACAAAAAATTAACAATTGTAAACCGCTTTGAGACTCAGATCTGCAGTGAAAAGGCGGTATATAAATAAATACTTACTTACTTACTTACTTACATTGCTCAATAGGTGACTTGAGAATGAAGCAAAAATGAAAACAGAAGATGGTCAATGATTGCAGAGAAGGCAGAGATAATGGTTCTAATGCCGTGTTCAGACCGATCGCGATGGAGGAGTCAGGGGCGAGTGATTTACATGTTATGTCTATGGCCGGGTGCGCTCAGGAGCGAATGACGAGAGTAGAGCGAGGCGAACAGGGCGTTTTGAACGAAAAGAGCGGAACGAAAGTGGCGAAAGGGGCGTTTGACGCGCGCCTAGAGCCATTTCGCCTCCACCGCCCTACTCGCTCGAGTTGAAAAATCTGAACTTTTTGGTCAATTCGCGGGGCGTTGACCAATCAGGGACTGAATCGAGCAGTGACGTAGCATTGAACAACATTTAGTTATCTAACCTAATGGACTATTAATTATCTAACCCCCACCTGAAACGAGCTTATCGTGTCTAGTTTGGCATAACTAACTGATTAGTTTGGCATAAATCTAAAAGCTAAACAGTGGCACAATGGCTTTACATGTAAAGTACTTGGATTATAACATTTGGAATCTTATTTATTGAGAACCGCTTGATTTACTAACCGAAGACAGATGGACAGGCGCTCTGCAGGGGAGATAGAGCGCCTGTAGTTGGTCTCCCGGACGGTGATCCGAGCCCCAACGCGGGACAGCAGGTCCTCAAACTGGGTCCTGGACACACGGAAATACCGCTGGAATCGACCGTCATCCAGGCGCAGCTCCTGGAGCAGATGGTGGTACTCCCCATATTGGGAGCGTCTCTGGAGGATATCGTGGACCCAGAGACGGCGTCGCTGCCGCCGCTGTTCGGCTTTCCACATTAAATAAAGTATAGTGACTCGTTCCAGAAAATCAAAGCCCGCCATGCTGAGTTGAACAACAACCGGAACCGGCAACTGGCCATAAGCTCCTCCTATTGGATGACGCGGCGAGGCGAAATCTCGACCAAAATCCGCAGGCGAACAGAGCGAGTAATCGCCGCGATAGAAGCGAGTGTCATCAAATATTCAAGCGAAAAACGCCTGGCGTTTGATGCGATTTTTTCGCCTCCATCGCGATCGGTCTGAACACGGCATTACAGGCAGTGAGCTAGTGTTGTGATGGCTTTTGTTTTGTTATGGTTTTGTGGCCTGTTTTCTTTTAAATGTGAACTTACAAGTCAAGGTGATTCTGGAAACGGATAGTTAAATTTAAGCTTGAATAATGTTAAATATTTGATTTGAACAAGCAACGTGTGTGACAATTTGTTTGTTTTTGACGATTGTAAATTTTTATAAATGTTCTGTATTTTATATATTGTAAATAACGGAATACAAAAACACCTGTAAATATGTGTGTATATTCACACAAAGTGGCATACGTTTTCAGACCTGTTCTTCTTCTCTGCTCTGTTTCAATCAGACTTTTTTGGTGTTGGGGTTTTTGTTTGTGTATGTCACTTGGAATTAAATAATTACAAAAATATATATATATTTTATAATAATAATAATAATAATGATACTTGGAAACTTGAACTCCTTCTGCCAGGTTTTCCTCCTGGATGTAAACATGGCTAGAACTTACAGAATTGAGCAACAGCCGTATAAATATAATCTTTGCCTGTCAAGCTAAAACTAAAGGACGTCACGTGGATCTCGTCGGGTCTCGGGCCGTCAGCCTCTGCATGTTCTCGTCACGCTGGGAATGTCTTAATCATTATCTGTGGCGTGTTGCTCCAAAGTGTAGCTCGCTCTTGCTAATAATTGGACTGTTTTGTTGAGGGCTAAAAAAGGAACTGTTATCCAAGTGAAATCGCAAATGTTGGGGATGCAATTAGCAATAAGCAATCTGATGTGATTTATTTTCACTAATATTGTTTTGTTGCATAATGTCAACATTGGGTTATTGGTTTGAGATCCCATAAGGATTTGACACATGTGCAAGGATCACAGGGTCAACTTTTTTGGATCCCTGGAGCACCTCCCCAGGGAGGCGTCCAGGAGGCATACGGAACAGATGAGCCACCTCAAGGGGTTCCTCTCGACGTGGAGAAGCAGTGGCTCTACTCCGAGCTCCTCCTGTGTGCCTGAGCTCCTCTATCTCTAAGGGAGCAGCCACTCTGTGGAGGAAGCTCATTTTGATGCTTGTGTCCGCAATCTCGTTGTTTCGGTGTAAACAAGTCAAAAGTAGAGAATAGAAATGAACGACCAATGTCCATAAATGATTATACATTAGCATAAATGTCCTTTGTCCTGGAAAGTCCCTGTCCTTAGACCCTGCATCGGAAAGACAAAAACATGAGAAACCTCCGGGAGGCCCAAACTGAGAGAGATGCTTCTCTTATGATGACCACATGGAGAAAGAAAAACCCGAGACTTCAAAACAAACTAATTTCCTCTCCCTAAGATTATATTTGTAGGACAGAGGCCTCAGCTCAGACTGAACCACAATAATAATAAGTTCTGTTTTTCTTTCCTCAGACGCTGCTTCCAGAATCATCATCTGTATGTGGAGGACGGTGCATCAGCCAGAGCTCTACCTGCGGACACTTCAGCCACTGTCACGATCCCAGGTACTATCACAGGTACTATCACAGGTACTATCACAGGTACTATCACAGGTACTATCACAGGTACTATCACAGGTACTATCACAGGTACAATCACAGGTACAATCACAGGTACTATCACAGGTACTATCACAGGTACTATCACAGGTACTATCACAGGTACTATCACAGGTACTATCCCAGGTACTATCACAGGTACTATCACAGGTACTATCACAGGTACTATCCCAGGTACTATCCCAGGTACTATCACAGGTACAATCACAGGTACTATCACAGGTACAATCACAGGTACAATCACAGGTACTATCACAGGTACTATCACAGGTACTATCACAGGTACTATCACAGGTACTATCACAGGTACTATCACAGGTACTATCCCAGGTACTATCACAGGTACTATCACAGGTACTATCCCAGGTACTATCACAGGTACTATATCAGGTACAATATCAGGTACAATCACAGGTACTATATCAGGTACAATCACAGGTACTATCACAGGTACTATCACAGGTACTATCCCAGGTACTACCACAGGTACTATATCAAGTACTATCACAGATACTATATCAGGTACTATATCAGGTACTATCACAGGTACTATCACAGGTACTATATCAGGTACAATCACAGGTACTATATCAGGTAAAATCACAGGTACAATCACAGGTACTATCACAGGTACTATCCCAGGTACAATATCAGGTACTATCACAGGTACTATATCAGGTACTATCACAGGTACTATCACAGGTACTATCACAGGTACTATCACAGGTACTATCACAGGTACTATCCCAGGTACTATCCCAGGTACTATCCCAGGTACTATATCAGGTACTATCACAGGTACTATCACAGGTACTATCACAGGTACTATCACAGGTACTATCCCAGGTACTATCACAGGTACTATCCCGGGTACTATATCAGGTACTATCACAGGTACTATCCCGGGTACTATATCGGGTACTATATCAGGTACTATCCCAGGTACTATCCCAGGTACTATCACAGGTACTATATCAGGTACTATCACAGGTACTATCCCGGGTACTATATCGGGTACTATCACAGGTACTATCACAGGTACTATCCCAGGTACTATCCCAGGTACTATCCCAGGTACTATATCAAGTACTATATCAGGTACTATCACAGGTACTATCACAGGTACTATCACAGGTACTATCCCAGGTACTATCACAGGTACTATCCCGGGTACTTTATCAGGTACTATCACAGGTACTATCCTGGGTACTATATCGGGTACTATATCAGGTACTATCCCAGGTACTATCCCAGGTACTATCACAGGTACTATCCCGGGTACTATATCAGGTACTATCACAGGTACTATCCCGGGTACTATATCGGGTGATATATCAGGTACTATCCCAGGTACTATCCCGGGTACTATATCAGGTACTATCACAGGTACTATCCCAGGTACTATATCGGGTACTATATCAGGTACTATATCAGGTACTATCCCGGGTACTATATCAGGTACTATCACAGGTACTATCCCAGGTACTATCACAGGTACTATCAGCACCTGCAGGAGGATCAGTGAGGGGCTGGTGCTCTGTGGGTGAAGCGCTGACTGCCACCCCCCGAGCCAGACATGGATTAAGGGGAAGAAAATGGAGGGATGGCATTTCCATGGCATTTCAAGTGTTGTCTTGTCATGTTTATGAATCATGACATTTGAGGTAAAAACTCAAACAAAAACTAGAAATTTGATAAAAATAGCCACAGGACGTTCACACCAGGACTAACCACTCATTTCAGAAACAGGACAAAAATTGTGAGAATACAGTTTAATTAAAGTATTTACTACCTACTATCTACAACTCACACACATGAACATACACTGCAAAAAGTTATCAGAAACATGTTGCTCAAAAGGTTCAAGTGACAAAGAAAAAATCTTCTTGTCTTAAAAAAATAAAAAAGGCCTTCCCTGGAATGTTAAAAATACAGCAACAGTTAAACATAAATGAATCTTGTTTCACCACAGTCAGAAAGTGCTAAAATAAAAATAAAAATACTAAATTCAAGCAGCTGTAACCTCATATTTTATCGTTCTTTGCAGTGTACAGTAAAACTAGCTGTATAATGTGCAGTATTCATGAGCCTGTCAAATGGAGCAAAAAGTGTGACTAAATATGCTGAACTTATCCTGCTTAAGTCTGGTTAGGCCTAAAAACAAACCCCAGTCACCGGGTTAAAGATCAGAGCTTTTTGTGAACTACGGCTCTCGTCTTACTCTTATCGCTTCACACTTAAAGACTCTCTCTCTGGTCTCTCTCTGGTCTCTCTCTCTGGTCTCTCTCTCTGGTCTCTCTCTCTCTGGTCTCTCTCTGGTCTCTCTCTCTGGTCTCTCTCTCTGGTCTCTCTCTCTGGTCTCTCTCTCTCTGGTCTCTCTCTGGTCTCTCTCTCTGGTCTCTCTCTCTGGTCTCTCTCTCTGGCCTCTCTCTAGTCTCTCTCTAGTCTCTCTCTCTCTGGTCTCTCTCTCTCTGGTCTCTCTCTCTCTCTGGTTTCTCTCTCTGGTCTCTCTCTGGTCTCTCTCTCTGGTCTCTCTCTCTCGCCTCTCTCTCTGGCCTCTCTCTCTGGCCTCTCTCTCTGGTCTCTCTCTAGTCTCTCTCTCTGGTCTCTCTCTAGTCTCTCTCTCTCTCTGGTCTCTCTCTCTCTGGTCTCTCTCTGGTCTCTCTCTCTGGTCTCTCTCTCTGGTCTTTCTCTCTGGTCTCTCTCTCTGGTCTCTCTCTCTGGCCTCTCTCTCTGGCCTCTCTCTCTGGTCTCTCTCTAGTCTCTCTCTCTGGTCTCTCTCTGGTCTCTCTCTAGTCTCTCTCTCTGGTCTCTCTCTGGTCTCTCTCTCTCTGGTCTCTCTCTGGTCTCTCTCTCTCTGGTCTCTCTCTCTGGTCTCTCTCTGGTCTCTCTCTCTGGTCTCTCTCTCTGGTCTCTCTCTCTGGCCTCTCTCTCTGACCTCTCTCTCTGGTCTCTCTCTGGTCTCTCTCTGGTCTCTCTCTAGTCTCTCTCTCTGGTCTCTCTCTGGTCTCTCTCTAGTCTCTCTCTCTGGTCTCTCTCTCTGGTCTCTCTCTCTGGTCTCTCTCTGGTCTCTCTCTCTCTGGTCTCTCTCTCTCTGGTCTCTCTGGCTGGCGGCACGGTGGCTGAGTGGATAGCACTCTCGCCTCTCAGCAAGAAGGTTCGAATCCCGGCCGGACCAGGGCCTTTCTGAGTGGAGTTTGCATGTTCTCCCCGTGTCTGCGTAGGTTTCCTCCGGGTACTCCGGTTTCCCCTACCACTAAAAATATGTACAATAGGTCCTGTTCGGCGACCCCGCTCCCATCTCTGTGTGGAGTGAGTGGACAAGTGCCCAAAAAAATAGCAATTGTAAACCGCTTTGTGACTCTGGTCTGTGAAAGGCGGTATATAAATAAAGCTTACTTACTCTCTCTCTCTCTTTGAAACCATTTCACAAACATATTAGAAAATTCCAGAGAAAACAAACGTCTTAATCAGTGTGGGCGGGTCCCGTCTCCAAAAGGAGCTGCAGTCTCACTCCTGGCCTGTGGGGGTGTACCCGGAAATAGAATTACCCCATGCTTTTGTATGGCGTCTTTTTTCCTCTCGAAAGAGTCTTTACAGGATGGTCCAAAAGTCGCTGTTGATGCTGAGAGGAGTCTTTTTTTTTTTGGACCAGTCTAGTTTAGCCGCTGTGTACTTTTGAATACACTCGTTAAATTGAATGGGGCTATTGCTGCTAACTCTTTCGCAAATTAGTTTTTTCACATTTTGAAAATGCCACAGAAGGCAAAAGGGATGCCCCCCCCCCCGGACCCAGAAGTAGACAGTAAATGGATGGATGCTTTCATGTATCAGTCTCCCACCTGTGGTTTCTAAGTGAACTCTGCGGACCTAATCCGGCCGTTTTAGCGTTTGGCTGAGGTTTAAGCAGGGCCTCCTCTCCACTGCAACGCCTCGCAGTGTAACATTAGAAGCTGCTTGTAACTTATCTGCTGCTGGGAACTCCACACGGGGAGGGGGAGCCAGTGGGGGAGGAGGGAGGGCAGTGCTGAGGTTGGAACATATGTTTTCTTCTGTGGTAATTGATAGAATGAGATCAGACCCAGAGCAGAGCTGGGGACATCCCATAATCCTCTTTGTGGATTTGTAACCTGCAGCCTCTGACTCCTGCGCACTCGCATTACGGCACGCTTTACACGAGTCAGAGTGAATATTTTGGTCATTTTTGTGTTTTTATGGTATTTTGTGCTGGTGTTTTAACAAATGGGTCTTTAGAATGTGGCCTGTGCGGTGGTGCAGCAGTTAGCACTTGTTTGATTTCACCTCCAGACAGTCTTTCTGTGGGGAGTTTGCATGTTCTCCTCGTATCTGCGTAGTTTTCTTCTGGGTCTCACGGTTTCCCACTGAAATGTACAATAGGTCTGAAGTAATTGATAATAGTAATTATAATAATAATGATATTGTTAATAATAAATCGTGTATAGCACTTTCCACAGTGATTACAAAGCACTGCACTGTCAGCATAAAGAAATATAAAATACCAACTTATTGAAATGACAAATCAAAAAGGAAAACAGGAGATTAAAGCAGACAAACACAAAAACAAAAAAGACAAAGAAATAAATGTTGATTCTAAAACAGAATAAGTGAAAGATCGATGACACAGGCTTTGATCACGTCTCACTTCAGTCATCACTTGTTTTTAAATAAACATTACTTACTTGGTTACTCACTTCCTTCCTTACTTACCCACTCACTTACTTACTTTGCTTTGTGACCCTGGTCTGTGAAACGTGCTACTTAAATAAGTTGACTCCCTTCCTCTAAAGCTTTGTGTATCTGCTGTATTCACAGATGACGCTGAAGCCGTCTCCATCCAGGACTTCATCAAACACGTCTCACTTCTCCATTCCAGCAAGCAGCGTGGATTCACCGAAGAGTTCGAGGTGAGGCATCGGATCGCGACACATTTAGACACAGCGCTCATTAAACACAAGCGCCACATGCAGCAGACGTCATGTGTCACCCTGAACCCTGTCTGTGAGTACTGTGGACTCTGGGAACCCTGAACCCTGTCTGTGAATACTGTGGCCGCTGGGAACCCTGTCTGTGAGTACTGTGGACTCTGGGAACCCTGAACCCTGTCTGTGAGTACTGTGGACTCTGGGAACCCTGTCTGTGAGTACTGTGGACTCTGGGAACCCTGAACCCTGTCTGTGAGTACTGTGGACTCTGGGAACCCTGTCTGTGAGTACTGTGGACTCTGGGAACCCTGAACCCTGTCTGTGAGTACTGTGGACTCTGGGAACCCTGTCTGTGAGTACTGTGGACTCTGGGAACCCTGAACCCTGTCTGTGAGTACTGTGGACTCTGGGAACCCTGAACCCTGTCTGTGAGTACTGTGGACTCTGGGAACCCTGTCTGTGAGTACTGTGGACTCTGGGAACCCTGAACCCTGTCTGTGAGTACTGTGGACTCTGGGAACCCTGAACCCTGTCTGTGAGTACTGTGGACTCTGGGAACCCTGTCTGTGAGTACTGTGGACTCTGGGAACCCTGAACCCTGTCTGTGAGTACTGTGGACTCTGGGAACCCTGTCTGTGAGTACTGTGGACTCTGGGAACCCTGAACCCTGTCTGTGAGTACTGTGGACTCTGGGAACCCTGTCTGTGAGTACTGTGGACTCTGGGAACCCTGAACCCTGTCTGTGAGTACTGTGGACTCTGGGAAAAAGAGATAGAATTGAAAAACAACAGTAATTTATGATTAATTATATAGAGAGTTTCTTTACCAGCGGTGACTCACAGGTTTGTCCGGCTCAAACTTTAATGTCATAGAAATGCTTTTGTAAATACTTTTTATGCAACACATCGCAAATACTGCTGCAGGATTGTATATAAGATTTTTCTTCTTCCTGCTCCCTTTTGAACATGGGAATGGAATAGACATTTGGTTTTGTTTGTATGATTATATATAAAGTGTGCGCACATGTTTCAAAATAAATACTTATGAATGAATGAATACAATCAAAATCAAATCAATGATTCAAAAAGGTTAGTTTTGTAAAGTTTGTAATATTGGCGTTATATGGACATACATACTGTTTATTACAAGACACATTTTACCAGATAGTATACCCTGATTCCTGTACAAAGACATCCCAGAAATGCAACAAAAAAAAGTACTTTTAAATGGGCGTTACTCCGGGTCACCCCTCTTCCAGTTGGCCTTCTATACTATCGTGTTTACAACCACCGGGCAGTACGGGCCCTCCCTTCGTCCCCAAAATAACCCCTCTCTTCACGCCACATGCTCAATCCGTCTTCAATAGTGCTACAACAAGCAGCGCGGTGTGTTAAGCCGTAGAGGAAGCGTGCATGGGGGGGTCTGGGTCAAATCCCCCCCTCTGGTTCCCATAGGGCAGGGCTGAGTGTGCGCCGCTCAGCTGTTAGCCTGGCTTCACTGTCCGCACACACGTCTGGGAATAGCGCAGACATTTTTAGGACTGTAAACGAAACTGCAAGTTCTTAATGGAAATGTACACGAGGGGTGCAGGGCCTGCAGCAGGGTGTCGAACTCATGTTGGTCGGGGGCCGAAGAAATGGAAGGGATTTTCCTTTTCTAATTATTGTTTTATTGACATTATGAAGGTATTTTGGCGTGATTGAAGTTTCATTATTATTTTCTGGTTGATTTTGTTTTTGCTTGGATTTGACCAATACAGTCCCTCTACAGCCCTACAGTCTCTCTACAACCCTGCAGTCTCTCTACAGCCCTACAGCCTCTCTACAGCCCTACAGCCTCTCTACAGTCTCTCTACAGTCTCTCTATAGCCCTACAGTCTCTCTACAGTCTCTCTACAGCCCTACAGCCTCTCTACAGTCTCTCTACAGTCTCTCTATAGCCCTACAGCCTCACTACAGTCTCTCTACAGCCCTACAGTCTCTCCACAGCCTCTCTACAGCCCTACAGTCTCTCTACAACCCTGCAGTCTCTCTACAGCCCTACAGCCTCTCTACAGCCCTACAGCCTCTCTACAGTCTCTCTACAGTCTCTCTATAGCCCTACAGCCTCACTACAGTCTCTCTACAGCCCTACAGTCTCTCCACAGCCTCTCTACAGCCCTACAGTCTCTCTACAACCCTGCAGTCTCTCTACAGCCCTACAGCCTCTCTACAGCCCTACAGTCTCTCTACAACCCTGCAGTCTCTCTACAGCCCTACAGCCTCTCTACAGCCCTACAGTCTCTCTACAGCTTCTCTACAGCCCTGCAGTCTCTCCACAGTCTCTCTACAACCCTGCAGTCTCTCTACAGCCCTACAGCCTCTCTACAGCCCTACAGTCTCTCTACAGCTTCTCTACAGCCCTGCAGTCTCTCCACAGTCTCTCTACAACCCTGCAGTCTCTCTACAGCCCTACAGTCTCTCTACAGCCCTACAGTCTCTCTACAGCCCTGCAGTCTCTCTACAGCCCTACAGTCTCTCTACAGCCTTACAGTCTCTCTACAACCCTGCAGTCTCTCTACAGTCCTACAGTCTCTCTACAGCCCTACAGTCTCTCTACAGCCCTACAGTCTCTCTACAGTCTCTCTACAGCCCTACAGTCTCTCTACAGCCCTACAGTCTCTCTACAGCCCTACAGTCTCTCTACAGCCCTGCAGTCTCTCTACAGCCCTACAGTCTCTCTACAGCCTTACAGTCTCTCTACAACCCTGCAGTCTCTCTACAGCCCTACAGTCTCTCTACAGTCCTACAGTCTCTCTACAGCCCTACAGTCTCTCTACAGCCCTACAGTCTCTCTACAGCCCTACAGTCTCTCTACAGCCCTACAGTCTCTCTACAGCCTTACAGTCTCTCTACAACCCTACAGTCTCTCTACAGCCCTACAGTCTCTCTACAGTCTCTCTACAGCCCTACAGTCTCTCTACAGCCCTACAGTCTCTCTACAGTCTCTCTATAGCCCTACAGTCTCTCTACAGTCTCTCTACAGCCCTACAGTCTCTCTACAACCCTGCAGTCTCTCTACAACCCTGCAGTCTCTCTACAGCCCTACAGTCTCTCTACAGCCCTACAGTCTCTCTACAGCCCTACAGTCTCTCTACAGCCCTACAGTCTCTCTACAGCCCTACAGTCTCTCTACAGTCTCTCTACAGTCTCTCTACAGTCTCTCTACAGCCCTACAGTCTCTCTACAGCCCTACAGTCTCTCTACAGTCTCTCTACAGCCCTACAGTCTCTCTACAGTCCTACAGTCTCTCTACAGTCTCTCTACAGCGCTACAGTCTCTCTACAGCCCTACAGTCTCTCTACAGTCTCTCTACAGCCCTACAGTCTCTCTACAGTCCTACAGTTTCCCTACAGTCTCTCTACAGTCTCTCTACAGTCTCTCTACAGTCCTACAGTTTCTCTACAGTCCTACAGTTTCTCTACAGCCCTACAGTCTCTCTACAGCCTCTCTACAGCCCTACAGTCTGAGTGTGTTGTCCTCAATAAATCAAACTTTGAGAGATTTAATTGTAGTTGGAGGTTTTCTCGAAAAGTGAGGGTCCTGTTGATTCACCGATAACTAAAACCTAATAGTCTAACACTAAAAAGTTCCTTAAAACTATGTTGAAAAAAGAGCTCTTTTCCACCGTGCCAGGGTTGTCACATTGTAAATAAATTGGCACAGATTACCAGTACAGACCATAAACTATTTGAAATTGCTTAAAGGCACTGCCAAATACTTTTCTATGGACCACAAATCAATAAAAAGCATGAGGCTGCAATGAAAAAAAGCCAAATCTCAGAAGTTTCTCATTTGATCATTTACAGTTTTATGTCCCACTATTGTCAGAGAATGATCAGAGGATTTGTCAGAGATTCAATGATGGTGTGTTTTGTGTTGAGCAGGAGATCCAGCGCTGTGCTGCGGACACTAGGACCACATGGGAGCACTCCAACCACTCCGAGAACAAGCACAAGAACAGATACATCAACATAGTGGCCTGTGAGTACACAAAAGAGAAAAATAAGTTGTCAAAGAATAGTTACAAGCAGAAAAACATGTTTGGATTTTCCTTGTGCCTCCGTGTTGCTGCTCAGACGATCACACCAGAGTGAGACTGAAGCCGGTCCCGGGGAAAGAGTCCAGACACGACGACTACATCAACGCCAATTATGTGGATGTGAGTATTATCAAAGTATTTAAAGACGCAGTCAATGATTTATCCAGACGCAATGTTTGTAAAATACTGCCCAAAAGTAGTGAAGTGTTTTCAAATAGGAATGGACCAGATGTAGCCTTAATAAATAAATCATAAATACTGTATTTTGAAGAGGACCGTTAAAATAAAACCAGAACCTGTCTAGGTTGTTATTGAGTTGGATTTTTTAAAACGTCTATGACTGAACCGAAAACCCTCAAAGTGCTAATAGATGGTTTTCCGCCACGTGCGCATTACCCATGATGCTTTGCGCGAATGCCATGTTGTGCGTCAACCTTTTGCACCATGTCATCTAAAGCCACGAATTCCCCCGCCGGCGGGCGCAAACAAGCTTAAGGGGTTAATCCATTTCCGGGTCGGGGGTGGTAGTCAGGCTTTGACTTATTAATTTGATCTGAATACTCACAGTTATGGGCTTCATTTTACGTCACAAAATCCTGAACGTATCATGACACTTCTGTTGCTTTGGTTTGTTTCTTCTCCACTCAGGGCTATAATAAACGTCAAGCCTACATTGCCACCCAGGGACCTCTGAAGTCCACCTATGAAGACTTCTGGAGAATGGTTTGGGAACAAAACACCGGCGTCATCGTGATGATCACCAACTTAGTGGAGAAGGGCCGGGTAAGAACACATTACATGTTTCTGTTGTCTCTGTTGCTTTGTCAGTGGCTAATGTTGAAGCAGATATGTTAGAGTCCGGAATCCAGTTCAGTTGGCTTTAAAAGCTGATGTGAAATGATTGAAGTCACTCATTGATATAATAAGGTCTAACTGAAGCTTCACTAAAAACCCATGGTGCTGGAGTAATTCTATAAGCCTTTCAACTGTTTTATTAAGAGTTCCCATAACTACTGATCAGCCAATCAATAGTTTAGTTAATCTTACATCTTTTTATCATCACTGCTTTAAACTAGTCTGGTCTTACCATGTGTAAACTCTGGTCCATGGTCATTTCCTACATGTACGTCTGGTCTTACCATGTGTAAACTCTGGTCCATGGTCATTTCCTACATGTACGTCTGGTCTTACCATGTGTAAACTCTGGTCCATGGTCATTTCCTACATGTACGTCTGGTCTTACCATGTGTAAACTCTGGTCCATGGTCATTTCCTGCACAGTCAGTTCAGTGTAAACCTGTGTCTTTCAGAGGAAATGTGGTCAGTACTGGCCCTCGGAGAACAGTGAGGAGTACGGCAGCATCGTGGTGACTCTGCAGAGCTCTCAGGTCTACGCCTGCTTCACCGTGCGCCGCTTCAGCCTCCGCAACGCCAGGGTCAAGAAGGTCCGAGAGAAACCCACACATTCCACACAGACATATAACAAATAAAAACACACATAATTTAGTTATAGTTACTCTCTAAAAGTATATAATAAACGGCCATACTTGTATGCAAAAACCAGATCCCGTCAGACCTCTGAAGCTAAGCAGGGCAGGGCAGGGCATGGTTAGTACTGTGATGGGAGATATCTGGGAACACCAGGTGCCCATGGGGCGGCTGAGACTGTAAAGATGATCTCACAAAGGGTCTGTACATGTGTCACTGATAATAATTCACTAGTAACTAATAGTCACTAATAGTCACTTTACCTGTTATTATTATTACTGCATTATTAGATATCCATCCATCGATATCTCTGTCATTCACTAGTCACTTTTTTACCTTTAACATGTCGCACACTTCTGTCTTTTGCACAATCTGAGTGATTCTGTCTGTTGCTACTATTGTTTATTCTGCTCATATTCTCCGCTGCTAAAGTATAATATACACATCTGTAAATCCTCCTGAACTAAGTGCAATTATAGCTCCAGAGTTTATTTTAGTTTAAGTAAGTAAGTAAGTACTGTTTATTTATATACCGCCTTTCACAGACCAGAGTCACAAAGCGGTTTACAATTGTTTGTTTAGTTTACCATCTTATTATCTTATTTCCCCGCTGTGGGACCGATAAAGGAAAATCTAATCTTACAGGAGTTCCGATGATGTTGTGTTGCGTTCTAACTCTGCATGACCTTTTGTCCGCAGGGGGCCAGAGGAGCGTCTAAAGGGCGTGGCCACAGTGAGCGGACCGTGCTTCAGTATCACTACACACAGTGGCCGGACATGGGGGTCCCGGAGTACAGCCTCCCCGTCCTCACGTTTGTCCACCGCTCGTCCGCAGCACAGACTCCAGACATGGGTCCAATGGTGGTCCACTGCAGGTACGACACTACAACACACAGGACGCACAACTTACTGCAATCTGCTGTTTGTTTTTTGGACAATACAAGTCAAGACAGACAACTGAAATATAAGAATAACAAAAACACAAAGCAAGGACAAGCAAAAAAGGAGAAACTATGATGCCAAGAAAAAAGGATCAAACAAAACAAAAAAAAATTCCTTCATACAAAAACTAAAAATGTAATAATAATAATAATCTGTATTTCTTTAGTATTAGAACCTGCCGCACAGAAAAAAAGGTCTCGTTATGGTTCTCAAATCATTAACGACAAAACAAGGAATAAAACCAGGATTTCTATCTTTGTGAAAAAGGTGTTGGTTATAGATTTGTTGTTGACAAAACTCTTGTCTATTCAGCTGTTATGGTCCCAGCTGGATTCGTCTGCATATCTGGCAACCTGAGTCAGGGAGAGTGGGAGAGGCTGCAGTACCACTTTTGGCCACATTTGTACATACTGCTGCTTTAAGTCACATTTACCTGTTTCTCTGCTCGATAGTATTAACTTCAAGAAGAGTAAATTAGTTAAAACACTCTTTCTCAGCCAGTTGTGTGTGATTCTTGCTAACGGCTGTTTGTTCATGACCCGTGTGTTGTGTCCAGTGCTGGAGTGGGACGCACAGGGACCTACATCACCATCGACAGTGCGCTGCAGCAGATCCAGCACAAGAGCACAGTGGGCGTGTGCGGCTTCCTCAAGCACATACGCACACAGAGAAACTACCTAGTGCAGACCGAGGTGAGCATCTCAGACAAACACTAACAGGGAAGGGACTTTTTGACACCAGTGTGGGCGGGTCCCGGCTCCAAAATCTATATGAGCACTTACTTGCAATACCACCCTGGGCCAGTAGGGGTGTACCCAGAAAGAAAATTATACGTCATCTTTACAGGATGGTCCAAAAGTGGCTCTAGGTCCAAAAGTGGCTCATGGTCCAAAGCTACGTTCCAGATGCTGTTGATGTTGGACCAGTCTAGTTTAGCCGCTGTAGACTTTTGAATGCACTCAATAACTGAATGGGGCTAGTGCAGCTAATGCTAATTTTCAAGAGGACTATTTTGGCATGAATCCGAAACGCTGCCTCCCCAAGTTTAGTCCTGACTCTGGGACCAGCAGGAGGCCAGTCCCTTTGCTCCTCAGAGTCTGCAGCAGGAGGCCAGTCCCTTTGCTCCTCAGAGTCTCAGCAGGAGGCCAGTCCCTGTGCTCCTCAGAGTCCCAGGAGACCAGAGCTGTTTTAAAGCATATTCTCTGAGCCACAGGAAGCCAGTGCAGAGACCTGAAAACTGGACTAATGTGATCCTACTTCCTGGTTCTAGTCAGGACTCAAAATAGGGACGCTTGATTTTACTGCAGCTGTTTGGAGAGACCTGTGAGCTGCTGTTACAGTCGACTAACTGGAGACAAATGCAGGATAAGAATCTGGTTAAAAGCTGCTGATGTTACTGATTTGATGCTATGAAAAATCAAGTCTTGCTCCAGTGTTACCCCTAGATTTCCAGTATTGAGCAATTAGGTCCAAATGTCCCCAACACACTTTAATACGCATGAAGACATCTCATACACATACGTCGCTAAATATATGAAAATAGCAGACACTACAGTATTTGTTTTTCTGATTGTTCTTGGCCCGATCTCTCGTTGAACTCTCGACATTGGCGTTTGACAGGAGCAGTACATCTTCATTCACGACGCTTTGGTGGAAGCCATTTTGGGGAAGGACACAGAGGTGGCGTCCGATCGTCTCCATGACTACCTAAACTCCATCACGAGAGCGGACCACAGCGGCTGCTCCAGGATAGACGCCCAGTTTAAAGTGAGCAAATCTCTCACAAACTCGGACTCATTATTCAAACCCGTGCTCTATTTTGAACAATGGCTTTGTTTCGAGAATTAAGGATTATAGCTTTGTGTCTGGGCGCAGACTGAATATTATAAATACTGTTTCTGAATAGTCTGGAACGTTCCCATTTCACCCCAGCCTCACATTTTGAACAATATTGTTTAAAGTGTTGTTTATGATAATACTAATTTTTATTTTTTATTTTTTTCCTTCCACAGCTAATAACACAATGTAACGTCAGGTCTGCGGACTGTCTGAGCGCTCAAAAAGACTGCAACAGAGACAAAAATCGCAGTTCTTCTATAGTTCCAAGTAAGTCCTGGCCTTGTTCTTACTATAATCACATGTTCTATAGTGACTGTTGTATACATTAGTCACATGTTCTATAGTGACTGTTGTATACATTAGTCACATGTTCTATAGTGACTGTTGTATACATTAGTCACATGTTCTATAGTGACTGTTGTATACATTAGTCACATGTTCTATAGTGACTGTTGTATACATTAGTCACATGTTCTATAGTAACTGTTGTTTACATTAGTCACATGTTCTATAGTAACTGTTGTATACATTAGTCACATGTTCTATAGTAACTGTTGTTTACATTAGTCACATGTTCTATAGTAACTGTTGTACACATTAGTCACATGTTCTATAGTGACTGTTGTATACATTAGTCACATGTTCTATAGTAACTGTTGTTTACATTAGTCACATGTTCTATAGTAACTGTTGTATTAGTCACATGTTCTATAGTAACTGTTGTATACATTAGTCACATGTTCTATAGTAACTGTTGTTTACATTAGTCACATGTTCTATAGTAACTGTTGTTTACATTAGTCACATGTTCTATAGTAACTGTTGTATTAGTCACATGTTCTATAGTAACTGTTGTATACATTAGTCACATGTTCTATAGTAACTCTTGTATACATTAGTCACATGTTCTATAGTGACTGTTGTATACATTAGTCACATGTTCTATAGTAACTGTTGTATACATTAGTCACATGTTCTATAGTAACTGTTGTTTACATTAGTCACATGTTCTATAGTAACTGTTGTTGTTATTAGTCACATGTTCTATAGTAACTGTTGTATACATTAGTCACATGTTCTATAGTAACTGTTGTTTACATTAGTCACATGTTCTATAGTAACTGTTGTATACATTAGTCACATGTTCTATAGTAACTGTTGTATACATTAGTCACATGTTCTATAGTAACTGTTGTTTACATTAGTCACATGTTCTATAGTAACTGTTGTTTACATTAGTCACATGTTCTATAGTAACTGTTGTTTACATTAGTCACATGTTCTATAGTAACTGTTGTATACATTAGTCACATGTTCTATAGTAACTGTTGTTTACATTAGTCACATGTTCTATAGTAACTGTTGTTTACATTAGTCACATGTTCTATAGTAACTGTTGTATACATTAGTCACATGTTCTATAGTAACTGTTGTATACATTAGTCACATGTTTTATAGTAACTGTTGTTTACATTAGTCACATGTTCTATAGTAACTGTTGTATACATTAGTCACATGTTCTATAGTAACTGTTGTTTACATTTGTCACATGTTCTATAGTAACTGTTGTATACATTAGTCACATGTTCTATAGTAACTGTTGTATACATTAGTCACATGTTCTATAGTAACTGTTGTATACATTAGTCACATGTTCTATAGTAACTGTTGTATACATTAGTCACATGTTCTATAGTAACTGTTGTTTACATTAGTCACATGTTCTATAGTAACTGTTGTTTACATTAGTCACATGTTCTATAGTAACTGTTGTTTACATTAGTCACATGTTCTATAGTACTGTTGTTACTTATCATAGTTCTATAGTGACTGTTGTATACATTAGTCACATGTTCTATAGTAACTGTTGTTTACATTAGTCACATGTTCTATAGTAACTGTTGTATTAGTCACATGTTCTATAGTAACTGTTGTTTACATTAGTCACATGTTCTATAGTAACTGTTGTTTACATTAGTCACATGTTCTATAGTGACTGTTGTATACATTAGTCACATGTTCTATAGTAACTGTTGTTTACATTAGTCACATGTTTTATAGTAACTGTTGTATTAGTCACATGTTCTATAGTAACTGTTGTATACATTAGTCACATGTTCTATAGTAACTGTTGTTTACATTAGTCACATGTTCTATAGTAACTGTTGTTTACATTAGTCACATGTTCTATAGTAACTGTTGTATACATTAGTCACATGTTCTATAGTAACAGTTGTTTACATTAGTCACATGTTCTATAGTAACTGTTGTTTACATTAGTCACATGTTCTATAGTAACTGTTGTATACATTAGTCACATGTTCTATTGTAACTGTTGTTTACATTAGTCACATGTTCTATAGTAACTGTTGTATACATTAGTCACATGTTCTATAGTAACTGTTGTTTACATTAGTCACATGTTCTATAGTAACTGTTGTATACATTAGTCACATGTTCTATAGTAACTGTTGTTTACATTAGTCACATGTTCTATAGTAACTGTTGTATTAGTCACATGTTCTATAGTAACTGTTGTATACATTAGTCACATGTTCTATAGTAACTGTTGTTTACATTAGTCACATGTTCTATAGTAACTGTTGTTTACATTAGTCACATGTTCTATAGTAACTGTTGTATTAGTCACATGTTCTATAGTAACTGTTGTATACATTAGTCACATGTTCTATAGTAACTGTTGTATACATTAGTCACATGTTCTATAGTGACTGTTGTATACATTAGTCACATGTTCTATAGTAACTGTTGTATACATTAGTCACATGTTCTATAGTAACTGTTGTTTACATTAGTCACATGTTCTATAGTAAGTAAGTAAGTAAGTAAGTAAGTAAGTAATCTTTATTTATATACGGCCTTTCACAGACCAGAGTCACAAAGCGGTTTACAATTGTTATTTTTTGGGCATTTGTCTCTCACTCCACAAAGATGGGAGCAGGGTAGTAACTGTTGTATTAGTCACATGTTCTATAGTAACTGTTGTATACATTAGTCACATGTTCTATAGTAACTGTTGTTTACATTAGTCACATGTTCTATAGTAACTGTTGTATACATTAGTCACATGTTCTATAGTAACTGTTGTATACATTAGTCACATGTTCTATAGTAACTGTTGTTTACATTAGTCACATGTTCTATAGTAACTGTTGTTTACATTAGTCACATGCTCTATAGTAACTGTTGTTTACATTAGTCACATGTTCTATAGTAACTGTTGTATACATTAGTCACATGTTCTATAGTAACAGTTGTTTACATTAGTCACATGTTCTATAGTAACTGTTGTTTACATTAGTCACATGTTCTATAGTAACTGTTGTATACATTAGTCACATGTTCTATAGTAACTGTTGTATACATTAGTCACATGTTCTATAGTAACTGTTGTTTACATTAGTCACATGTTCTATAGTAACTGTTGTATACATTAGTCACATGTTCTATAGTAACTGTTGTTTACTCACATGTTCTATAGTAACTGTTGTATACATTAGTCACATGTTCTATAGTAACTGTTGTATACATTAGTCACATGTTCTATAGTAACTGTTGTATACATTAGTCACATGTTCTATAGTAACTGTTGTTTACATTAGTCACATGTTCTATAGTAACTGTTGTTTACATTAGTCACATGTTCTATAGTAACTGTTGTTTACATTAGTCACATGTTCTATAGTGACTGTTGTATACATTTGTCACATGTTCTATAGTAACTGTTGTTTACATTAGTCACATGTTCTATAGTAACTGTTGTATTAGTCACATGTTCTATAGTAACTGTTGTTTACATTAGTCACATGTTCTATAGTAACTGTTGTTTACATTAGTCACATGTTCTATAGTGACTGTTGTATACATTAGTCACATGTTCTATAGTAACTGTTGTTTACATTAGTCACATGTTCTATAGTAACTGTTGTATTAGTCACATGTTCTATAGTAACTGTTGTATACATTAGTCACATGTTCTATAGTAACTGTTGTTTACATTAGTCACATGTTCTATAGTAACTGTTGTTTACATTAGTCACATGTTCTATAGTAACTGTTGTATACATTAGTCACATGTTCTATAGTAACAGTTGTTTACATTAGTCACATGTTCTATAGTAACTGTTGTTTACATTAGTCACATGTTCTATAGTAACTGTTGTATACATTAGTCACATGTTCTATTGTAACTGTTGTTTACATTAGTCACATGTTCTATAGTAACTGTTGTATACATTAGTCACATGTTCTATAGTAACTGTTGTTTACATTAGTCACATGTTCTATAGTAACTGTTGTTATACATTAGTCACATGTTTTATAGTAACTGTTGTATACATTAGTCACATGTTCTATAGTAACTGTTGTTTACATTAGTCACATGTTCTATAGTAACTGTTGTATACATTAGTCACATGTTCTATAGTAACTGTTGTTTACATTAGTCACATGTTCTATAGTAACTGTTGTATACATTAGTCACATGTTCTATAGTAACTGTTGTTTACATTAGTCACATGTTCTATAGTAACTGTTGTTTACATTAGTCACATGTTCTATAGTAACTGTTGTATTAGTCACATGTTCTATAGTAACTGTTGTTTACATTAGTCACATGTTCTATAGTAACTGTTGTATTAGTCACATGTTCTATAGTAACTGTTGTTTACATTAGTCACATGTTCTATAGTAACTGTTGTATTAGTCACATGTTCTATAGTAACTGTTGTTTACATTAGTCACATGTTCTATAGTAACTGTTGTATACATTAGTCACATGTTCTATAGTAACTGTTGTATACATTAGTCACATGTTCTATAGTAACTGTTGTATACATTAGTCACATGTTCTATAGTAACTGTTGTTTACATTAGTCACATGTTCTATAGTAACTGTTGTATACATTAGTCACATGTTCTATAGTAACTGTTGTTTACATTAGTCACATGTTCTATAGTAACTGTTGTATACATTAGTCACATGTTCTATAGTAACTGTTGTATACATTAGTCACATGTTCTATAGTAACTGTTGTATTAGTCACATGTTCTATAGTAACTGTTGTATACATTAGTCACATGTTCTATAGTAACTGTTGTTTACATTAGTCACATGTTCTATAGTAACTGTTGTATTAGTCACATGTTCTATAGTAACTGTTGTATACATTAGTCACATGTTCTATAGTAACTGTTGTTTACATTAGTCACATGTTCTATAGTAACTGTTGTATACATTAGTCACA